AGTCAGTAGTTATTACCTTTGATGGCCAAGTACTTCCTTCCCGTGTATTTTTATGCTATAATGTATTAGTTGTAGACCGCTATATATATCCAACAGTCCAATGTTTTAAATGCTGTCGTTTTGGGCACACTAAACTGCAGTGCAGGTCTAAACCTCGCTGCTTTAAGTGTGGTCAGGATCATACTGGTGATACATGTTCGGTTGAGGAAGAAGATGCACAATGTTGTAATTGTTCTGGTTCCCACTTTGCTAATAAACGAGTTTGTCCAGAATACGAAAGACAAAGGCGTATAAAAGTGACTATGGCAAATGATAATACTTCTTATTTTGAGGCAGCAAAAGTCCATCCATCTGTTAATAAGTCTTACTCTGAGGTACTAACATCCCAGCCAACTAAGGCATCCTCTAATTTTAAAACTACACCAATTAAAAATGATACTCAACATAATTCTTATAAAAAAACTGTCTTTATGAAACCTAAAGTTCGTTCACCTTCTCTTCATATGGGGTTTAATCAAGCAAAACATATGAATATGATCAAAGATTATGATATGCCCAACAACAGTGGTAATGGTACCGCTATTATACATGAATTTAACAAGAATTCAAATTTGACAATTACAGATGTAATTGTCCCTCTAATAATTTTTTTAACTCAATTTAATAATTATGAACCGTCCTACGTTGCTCCTTTACTAGACCTTCTTAATAAAATTACACATTCAAATCATGGCTCAATTGGCCAAAGTTATTCAATGGAATTGCCGCAGCATCAATAACAAGAAAACTGATCTTATTTACTTAATAAATACATACAATCCATTTATTATTTCACTATCAGAAACCTGGTTAAAATTAGGATTTAATTTCAAAATTCCAGGATATTTTTGTTTAAGACAAGATAGAGCAGATGGCCATGGCGGTGTTGCTCTATTGATCAAGAACTTTTACCAATATAAACATTTTGTATTACCTTTACCTTGTAGCGAATACTCTGCTATTGCTGCAATTGTAAACAATATCTGTTTTGTGTCAATTTATGTACCTCACCCAACTACATCTATTTTGAATGAAATCAATAACCTTCTATCTCTACTTCCAAAACCTTTTATAGTGCTTGGTGATTTCAACAGTCACCACCAGTCTTGAGGCAGTTCAACCACAAATAGCGTAGGAGAGCAACTTATGGACATATTGGATAAAAACAATTTGTGTTTACTTAACACTGGTATTCCTACCCGTGTTACTAGCCCCACAGATTTTATTAGTGCTGTGACCTCTCAATTTGTACACCTAGCCTTGCATCATCATTACTCTGGCATCCTCTCACTTCATCTTTTGGAAGTGATCACTTTCCAATAATATTAACCTTTCCATTTGCAAATAAAAAGTCTGTTAAGAGAAAAACATTTAATAAATATAAACTTAATAATGTAAATTTTTCTGTATACAAAAACAAAGTGGAAGAAAAATTTTCAACACTACCCATCTTGGAAAATGGTAATGAAGATGAATGCTCTGCAGCTTTGGCTAGATGTATGGTTGAAGTTGCTGATAGTATATTTCCTATTAAAAATTCATGTAGTAATTTAATCCCCTCACCACCCTGGTGGGACAAAGATTGTACTTTGGAGATTTCCCGGAGAAAGAAGGCTGAGCGCCAGTATCGCGAAAATATGACCACGGAAAACTTTGCAGTTCTTTTACGGGTTACATCTGAAGTTAAAAAGTCGTTAAAGAGGAAAAAGTCAGAATCCTGGAAAAAATTTTGTGCTTCAGTTAGTCCTCAAACCCATCCGTCTATAGTTTGGCGTAACATACGTAGATTTCGCTCTGCTTTTGTTGAACCATCTATCTGTAGTCTATCTTTACATTTAGCCGAACAATTCATGGATAACTTAGTTCCACCATCAGTAAAAGAGATATTAATACTTTCACCGTATCAAAATAATTTCGGTTTAAATTCTCCATTTTCTATGCAAGAGCTAAAAGGGATCCTTGCTAATCTTAAAGACTCTTGTCCAGGTAAAGACAATATTCCGTATTCCTTTGTAACTAATCTGAGTGATAATACCCAAAATTATTATTTACAAATTATAAACTCTGTGATGCTGACAGGTAATATTCCTCCATCATGGAGGCAACAAACAGTATTGCCATTACTAAAACCGAATAAATCGCCTGCTGATGTATCATCTTATCGACCGATTATTCTTTCTACAGTACTGGTTAAAATAGCTGAACACCTTTTGAAAAATAGATTAGAGTGGTTAGTTGAGAGCAAGAATCTTTTGTCAAATAGCCAATACGGTTTTAGGAGAAACAGAAGCACATCGGACTGTATTGGAATTTTAACATCAGATATCCGGATAGCTTTTTCCGATAATGAATCAGTTGGGGCGGTCTTTCTCGACATAAAGTCAGCATATGATAATGTTAATTTATCGATTTTACGCGATAAATTAGTTGATTTGCAAATTCCAGTAATGCTAACCAATTTTATTATAAATCTGTTTTCTGAAAGATATCTAATACTTCATATAGATGATACAACAATTGAAAGAACAGCGATAAAAGGCTTACCACAAGGGTCAGTCATCAGTCCGTTGCTTTACAATCTATATACCCATGATCTTGAAGATTCCTTAGATAGCTCTTGCTCGGTTATTCAATATGCCGATGATGTAGTTTTATACTGTAATAATAAGTCTGTAAATAACATAAACAATGATATAAATTATTCGTTATCATTATTTAAAAAATGGTTAGATAGAAACGGCCTAGAGTTGTCTGTTTCTAAGACAATTTTAGTACTTTTTTCTAGGATGAGAAACCCGCCTGACCTTAATGTATGCTTTGGTGAAACTTGCCTGCTGCAGAAGCAAGAAGTAATGTATTTAGGTATCATTCTTGATACTAAGCTCACCGGGAAATCTCATTGTGAATATATATCAGCAAAATGCGAACGTAATATTAATATTTTAAGATGTCTTGCTGGCGTTTGGTGGGGCAGCCATCCGACTTCGTTGAGATTGCTTTACATTGCCCTTGTGAGAAGCATATTAGACTATGGTACTTTTGACGTGACAACGTCTTAAATTAGGTTGCGGCTGGGAGTCACTTATGAAAAAGTGTAACGCTCGGTAACGTTACGATGAGTCTCTCGTGTTAAGTTTAAGTTTACATGTACAATGTTTTAGTAAACAAAATATATTTCTATAGTTAAAATTTGTGCAATTCTTATTTTCATTCAATTCCTTGTTCCTATTGTGCAATTTAATTATATTCATATCAATAAATATTCTACCGAGAAAAAGACGTTGTCACGTAAAATCTTCGCCCGTAAAACCGACTTTACAGGCAACCATTTTTTTTTTGTTGGAGCCAGGAAATGCTGGCGCTCTTCGGAAATTGGATAGTATTCAGTCAAAGGCCTTACGAATAATTTCTGGTGCCATGAGGTCTAGCCCTATATGCGCGTTACAGGTAGAATGCAATGATCCTCCATTACACCTTCGTAGACAGTATTTAGCCGATAGATATTTTTATAAGGCCGTTCAATTGACAAACAACCCAGTTATTGAAAAATTAAGAATTTTGTCGGAAAAGGTTATTACGGCTACTTATTGGTCTCGTAAGAGCCTTCCACCACTAGTTAAAACCTTTAATAGATACAAAGCTGAAGACATTCCGGTCCATCACTTCCATATTCCCCCTATTTTTAATACAGACTATGATGCTTTATCTATTAACCCTAATATAAAATATAACCTCCACATCGACGATAAGGCTAATGCAAATGTCTACTTTAATGCTATAGTAAGTGAGACCTGGCACCAATGGCACAAAATATTTACTGATGCGTCTAAAACCGCACAGCAGGACGTTGGAGTTGGAATCTTCCACAGCAACTACAAGATTCAACAAAAAATACGTCTGCCTCCACAGACTTCAGTTTTTACTGCCGAGTGCCTCGGTATCTACAAAGCAGTAGAATATATAAGGCTGGCTAAACTAAAGAACACCATTATTTTTACTGACTCCTTAAGCGCATTATATGCGCTAGCAAAATTCCCATTCAGATCAAAAAATTATCCATTAATCTTAAAGACAAGGGAGTTGCTTTATTTAAGTTTATTAAAGGGATATTCGGTTTCTTTTGCCTGGGTACCTAGCCATTGTGGCATAATTGGTAATGAATATGCCGATTACCTCGCTCGGGACGCAGTAAAATGTGGTGATTTTTATTATTATAAGAACTACTCTCATGATTTAATTAATATGTAACAAACAACATTACAAGATTCATGGTCCAGGTTATGGGTGGAGAGTAATAAATCAAAAGCTAAGTACTATCGCTCATTACAACCAACTTTACTTACTAAACCTTGGTTTTCCAAATTAAGGTTTAGTAAATCAGTTACTACAATTTTAATCCGAATGCGCCTCGGACATGCTTGTACTCCTGATCGTTTGGCAAAATATGGTATAATAGATACGTCCACATGTGAATGTGGCGAGGTTGATGCTGACGTTAACCATATTTTCTTTTCTTGCCCAGATATGACAGAACCGCCTTTTTAGATTCATTGAATACAGCAAATATTCCTTTTCCTACGTCCATTCCTTCCCTTCTTTATAATAATAATCCTGATGTATATATATGTTTATCTAAGTTTATCAGAAAAAATGATATAAAAATTTAGTTTATCTTCATATTTATACATTGGTTCCCTTTATTTACCTATATTTCCCTACCTACTCACCTGTTGTTCCTTGTTGTTATTCATCGCAAATCTCCCTTTTATCTTGTTAATATCGTTTCCTACTTTTTACCATCTGTTATCACCACATTATCAAACCACCAACTATCCATACTCTGCTCCTTTAATCGATAAAGTTTAATCGATTTACTACCCAATCACATCAAATAAAGCTCGCATATGGCAAATGGCAACATTAGCCGTCATGCCATAATAAAAGAAGAAGAAGAAGAAGATAGCATTGATTATTATTTATTTGACAATTTCGTCAATGAAACAAATCAAACAAAAGTTCAAAACCAAGATTTCTGATAACTTGAAGTAATCAGACCTTGAAGGGACCTAATTTTCATCTAATATTATAAATACAAATACCTTCCATTTTAGTTATTGATTGACTAGGCTTAAAGTCGAGGGCTCCGCCAGAATTATACTTCTTCGTTTTTACTACGATACAAACGCAAAAATGCTGCTAGAACTGCAAGTAAATTAAACACAGATAAGAAATAAACTCGCAAGTTACAAAATCTGTCGAAGTATACTTAACCGAACAATGCATATAACTCGTAAGTCGCATAAAATATTGTCATTATTCATGAATATAAATAGTCTTCTTTTTCTTTTAGTGCCTCTCCTTATTTTTATTGTGATGGAATAATTCCGCGGCGCTCGAGATTCCAGTCCTTGCTCGTAGGTTCCTACTTCTTCCTGCAACCTACGCCTCGTTTTCCAGCAACTTTGCCCACCATTATTGTTGTAAGAGGGCGTATCTTTAGTGTCTCATCACATGTCCTAGATACGCAACCTTCCTTACTCTGATGGTATCCCTAAGTTCGCGTTTCTTGCCAACACGTCGCATGATTTCATCATTTGTAACCATTTGAGTTCAACTAACTTTTAACATTCGTCTGTAAGTCCACATTTTGAATATAAATAATATTGTTGATAATAAAACAGTTTGCCAGTTAATGATATTTTCAGTATCATGATTTCTAGGCTATGTTCTATGTTATTATATTCACAATTTCTTTGATCATTAGGACATGAACTGTTGCTTTGATCATATACAAATGATTATTTATAAATAGAAGTTTTTTTATGGCCTTATTAATTCCGTAATCTATAACACAGTGAATTTCTGCTTACATGTAAAGTGAAGTACATTTTCTTTCCAGATTGGTGCAAGAATAAAATTGAAATTCAAGCTAAAGAGTATAACACTTTAAGACAAAATTACATACATTAAGATAAAGATATCTAAACGTTTTGGCATTAAGCCAATGCTTTGTCTTTACAGTAGTATTTATTAATTAACAAAATGGATAAGAACACATATGAAACATATGAATACTTGCCAGCTAATAATGGAGATTCAGACCAGTTCTTTGTAGTTCAAGCTGATGGAACATTTCTTAGTAAGTTAAATTTTGATTTATTGCTAGTTAATATTTTTATAATAATGCTGCAAACACTTCTAGCAAGCACTGTAGATAAAATTATAAAGATGGAGTTTTCAAGATAGTATTTGGGAGTAATTTTCATACCAATGGTAATTTACTTGTCAAATGATACTCTAAAGCAGGGGTGCTTAAGTGATCGACTGCTAATATCTATATATGCTACGGTACACCCTACCTAGGTAGGTGTAGATTTTATAGGTCAGAGGAGCTGAATAAAATACGGAATCACAGTGATGAATGATACTTATATTCTGTGAAATATATTTTTTTACTAGGGAGCTGATACAACCGACTCCTAGCACAGCAGAATACAAAGTGAAGCTAGTTTATAAGTGAACTGAGTGGGGGTTGAATGAATGAATGAAGTTTTTGAGTTAAGACTGGATGAACAAGTATACTTTGGCATTACCTAGTCATGATACTTTGCTTTTAAAGGAATACAAATTATAATATATAGGGTGAAATTGAATGTTTTAATGAAACTTCGTGAGATTGTTGGGTTATGAGTATAGAGTATGCCTGATTTTTTTCGGATTTTTTTGAAGTATTTTTTTTCATGTATTTATTTATAATTTGTGTATTTTTTTGTCCTTTCCTCCTTTTGAGTAGTTATTCATATTAAACAAACATGCTTACATATCCAGTGAAAAACAACTAATAAATAAGCACTTCTAAAAAACGGAAAAACAGTAAAATTCCACCGCAGGTCAACGACCGACCGCGCCCGCCAGCCGTTGAGTGAGTAGGTAGGTACGTAGGTACACAGAGCTCAGCTGACTTCTTTGATTCCACATAATACAATAAAATCGTCTCAGATGCCTTTATTGAAATTGAAATAATAAGCACAAATGTCATCTTCTCTTAAGCAGAGAAAAACTTAAAAAGTTAATAATAATTTTGTCACGATTGGAAATAGGCAAAAGTTAAACAAAAAGAAATACTTATTGCAGTTCAATGGTTGGGTCAGAATGAAATTTATTACCAGGTATTCAAAAGTACTTACGAGACCGATGTACCTATTAATTTTTTTCTCTATAACTTCCCAATAAATCACCAAACCTACTTTCGTAAAGCCTTGTGGCTCTGCTGAGTATTCCGTGACACTCGCAATAACAACACACCATATCCAAATTCTTATATTGAGGGCACAGAACAAGAACTAATCAAGGCATTATTTGCAAATCTTGTCTTGTCACAAATTTAAAAGATACGCACGCGCGCTTGAGACTCCGCTCGCTCACTGCGCTGTGCACCGCGCATACCTAGATAGGTAGGCAGGAAGGTATTCAACGGCGGGAGCGGTGATTGCTCCCGGCCGCCCGTCTCCTGTTTTTACGTCTTTTTTAGTAGTGCTTATTACTTGTTTTTTACTTACTCTGTATGCATGTTTTAAAAGAATAATTATTTAGTACCCAAAAGGAGGAAAGGACTTAAAATATAACAAAAAAAAACAAAATTTTATTTTAAATCATTTTTTAAAAAATCCGAAAAAATTCAGAGATACTCTATATACGTAACCCAACATTCCCACGAAGTTTCATTAAAACATTCAATTTCACCCTGTATATATATATAGATTCAAAATTCAAAAAATTCAAAATTCAATATCATTTATTCAGTCTAGGCTGTTACAAGCACTTGTGAATGTCGAAAAGCTACGCCATCGGTTCGCAAATCTACGGCGGGAGACCTTGTACTGAGAAGAACCGGCAAGAAACTCAGCAAGGGCTGTTTTTTTCTCCCTGTATTATATACAGAGTCGTCAATTTGAAAAATGAGTTCAATATGAGATAACCCATGAAGTCACTTTCCATTACAAATGTAAATGATAAAACAATTATGACTATAAAATAAAAAATATAAAAAACAGATTTAAAAATGAAAAAAAGTTTAGGAATGCCGTGTCCCACTGTTTAGGCATAAAAACAAATGTACCATTAAAGTTAAATACAACGATTAATAGTACCCAATGTAGCAAGAGCAGACTCATCTCCGCTGGCAGCACCCGTTCACGAGCATGACGCATGAACCAGCCATCGCTTCGCTCAACCATTTTTTAGGGAACGTAACGACCCGCCTCACACGACACCGCCGAAGAGATTTTTAAGAGAGTATGACTACCCATAACCACATATGGATACTAGATAGCAAAATAGGGAAAAAAAAAAAATTAAGTACCAGTGTACATTACTATAAAAAACTATAAACACAACTGTAGGACACATGCATGTGGTTACCTAAACACTAGTGTCGACTCTGCCACTACCCTCCAAACCCAAAACCAAACCCAACATCAGTGCCCCCCTTTCACTCTGTATAGAGAATGATAAGGATACACCGCTGCAAAACCAAAGTTCAGGTCTAGAGAACCATGCCAGAATCCACACCACCATTAAATCTTTATCTCAGAAATAATAAATGTTCACCTAAATTTTTTGTTTCTGATTGCCGTGCCACACAGTATAAATACAATTACAAATAAAATTTAACTTAAATAATTAATTATCATTATAATAATAATAAAGTAGTATAGAGCAGACTCATCTCCGCTGGCAGCACCCGTTCACGAGCATGACGCATGAACCAGCCATCGTTTCGCTCAACCATATTGTAGGGAACGCAACGACCCGCCTCACACGACACCGCCGAAGAGATTTTTAAGAGAGCATGACTACCCATAACCACTCAAACCAAGCAAAATAGTTACTTAGAATTCAGGTAATTTATCTGTACGACACTGCAAACAAATACAAAACAAATTTACAGTTACAGCCATGCAGTTTTGTCATTTAAGTATTCTTTAATAGTATAATAGCCTTTCTTAAGTAAACAATTTTTAATGTGACACTTGAACTCATTTATGGGTAACTCAAGAATGGCATCAGGAATTTTATTATAAAAATGTATACCTTGACCCATAAAAGATCGGTAAACCTTCTGTAACCTGTAGGGTGGCAATGCAAGCTTATTTCTATTCCTTGTGTTAAAATTATGCACGTTACTGTTTTTGGTATATAAATTGATATTATTTTTAACGAGGAGTATACAATTGTAAATGAATTGAGAAGCAACAGTCAAAATGCCGATTTCTTTAAATTTTTCTCTAAGAGATGTTCGGCTACTCAATTGATAAATAGATCTCACAGCTCTTTTTTGTAGAATGAATATACTTTCAATATCAGCTGCTGTTCCCCAGAGTATAATGCCGTATGATAAGATACTATGAAAGTAACTAAAATATACAGTCCTGGCAGTTTCTGTATCAGTAAGTTGTCTTATCTTTCTTATGGCATAAGCTGCTGAACTAAGTTTACCAGCCAAAAGCGTAATGTGATGATTCCATTGCAGTTTTGAGTCTATAGTTATACCCAAGAATGTAGTTGAGTCTACTAAATCTAATTTATTATTATTTAATTTAATTTCAATATGTTCGACTTTTACATTAGGTAAAGAAAATTTAATACACTTGGTTTTATTAGCATTTAGCTTTAGATTATTAACATTAAACCATTGCAAAACTTGCGAGAGAGCATTATTAACATCGTCATAGTTGTTCTTGCGCCTGTCAACGTTAAATAATAAAGATGTGTCATCAGCAAATAATACTATCTCACACAAATTTTCTACAAAAAATGGCAAATCATTTATATATACTAGAAACAGAAAGGGACCCAAAATTGAACCCTGGGGAACGCCCATTTCCACATGAGATCCAGATGATCTAACACCATTTACCTCTACAGTTTGAATTCTGGAACTGAGATACGACTGTATTAATTTATATGCAGTACCTTTGACTCCATAATGACTTAATTTCAATAACAGCGTGTGATGATCAACGCAATCAAAAGCTTTGGATAAGTCACAGAACACTCCAAGAACATTCTGCGACCTCTCCCAAGCCTCCAATATACTCCTTACAAGTCAGGCGATTAATTTTTGCCAATTTAAATTCAATGTAAAATTCAACAGTAGGTAGGTGGGGTGTATCGTGTATGTACAACAACCCTGCATCACACATACTTGTAGCCTCTCAGAGTCGATCATAAGTAGAGTAAATTTTGAGGTAGATCGCCAGCTGTTCAAGTTTGAGCACCCCTGCTCTAAAGGTTGACAAGCCATAATAGAAAAATGTATATTTATAATTAAGCCCTGTAATTAAAACTTTTAATAGGGTTCTTTTAACAGTCAACAGACAGGTGCAGTATGTTACACAAATTGAAAATGTTAAAGAAGTACTTGATGGTGTACCGTCATGTACAGTATATGATGTTACACCACAACAGTTACTTGTTGATGTTAATAATTCTGCTGAGCTTATATCTGTTTCTGGTGAGTTGTTTTATTTATTTTTTTACTTTTAACCTACCATTGTATCATTTTGAATTTATTAGCAGCACCTAATTATTTTTACCTGAAATAAAATGCATATTGAAAAACCTCTGCTCTTTCAATTGAGATAACAATTCTGTTTCTCATCAAATTTACATCAGTGTCCGTACTTTTAGGCGCTTAGCAGACGACGGGGCGGGGCGGGCCGGTCAATTTCGCCGCGAATAATAGCACAAAGTGAATCCTATACTTCAAACGCACACAGAGGGCAAAAAGACCGCGCCGCAGGTGCCCGGCGGAAGTATAGGATTCACTTTGTTTTCCTTAGTTTTGAGAGTGCCATTTTTGCTCATTGACTCAATCATTTCACCAGGCAGAATTAAAAGTGAAGCTTTTAGTGAGGTAATTAATTATTTTTATAAGCATTTAATTTCAGGAAAAATGCTGCAATTTAACTACTTGAGTGTCACTGAAAGCTTTATATACTGAGACCTGTTTGTTATCGCAAACATTCGTTTCGCGGTGACATTCACATCCATAGATATGCCAGTATGATGATTTATGTTAAATTTAAATAATAACATTTATCAGATTATATGAAACTGTTTAGAATAAAGAAACGATGAAGCTAATAAAATTGAGCAAATAACATTATTTGTATCTGATATAATTTCTTCAGGCTTACAAAACTGCTTGAACATTTTAGCTGATCACTAATTTCCCTTGTTAAGATTTGGTGAATTGGGTGATTTTTTTCAATGATATTATATACCCTAGATACACCAACACGAACAAAATCGTGCCCGAAACCTGTCCAAAAGGTACATTGAACGATCCACGGAGCTCCGTAATGGTAGCCATACACACTACGAGAAATCGTTACGATTAGACTGTACCGTCCGAACGGTACCGATAAATCGTAGCGTGTATGTTATAAAACTGCACAGTTTCCTACGATTTGAAGACTGTGCAGTCGGAAAAGTCGAACGGAGCAATACGAAAATTTCAATTGATTTATCGGAATCGGATGAACTGAACCGACTAATCGTAACGTGTATGCGCTCGTTCAGTTTTCGTGTTCAATTTTGTCGTCAGTTGCAGTTCGGGTAGACGTATTCAGTAGATGTAAGTATGTATCATGATCCATTCTTAAAAAAATATGCCAGTCTTTTGGAAACATCTTTAATTCCGACAACAAATTGACATGAGAATGAACTCTTCTTTTCAATAGCTATTCTTTGCACCAGATGCTACGATTTTTTTGCTTCACTTTATTTTCCTTCAGGGCGAATATTAATCCAACAACTGCTAAAACGTCGTCCGTCGAAGCCATCGCTGACACGTGTGCGTCGGCGCCGTTTATTGTACCGTCTGATCGTAACGATTTCTTGTAGCGTGTATGGCTACCATAAGATGATCGCGTAGTCAAAATCAATATAAGGCATTATTTAATCATAAGAAACCTTTAATACGCATGCCTCAAAACCTTCCGACAGTTCGAAATGCAAGCTCGTAAAATTTTACGACTTAATGCTATATGCGGAAGAATTTAGACCTTAGTTCTTTGACTCTACGCGCAATTCTGAACGCGCTGTTAGCAATATAGCAGGCACGGACCGCGAGGAAAAGAGACGGCTATATGGCGACGTATAACCGACCATGTATTTGAATATCACAAATATTTTATATGAAATCAGTTTACTAAGTATAAGATCAAAATTTACTTCAAATGCGTTAAATTAACAAACATTGACTAAATACCTTTCGAAAAAACGACACTTTTTGTACTCTTAAGTATTATTTTCGCATTTTCTCGCGGAGCTCTGTGGCATCTTGATTTTGTAACGGTCCGCGCGTGTCTGTGAACCAAGAAGTGCTTGAGTGGAGTTCAAGCACTTCTTAATTGGGACACATTTTGAGCGCTCGTGCGTGGTATTTAATATCGTTGAATTTTTTAGCCAGCTTTTCTAATGACCAGATGTTTCCTTGTGTAGCATTCATTCTCTATCTTTATATATTACACAAAAGCTGTATTAATGTGACAAAAAGATGTAAAGTTGTTAAATTTTATTTCTTACATTTTACAATGTTTAACTTTTTAATTAAGTTTATTTCTAAATCTATTTCTTTAATTATAGACCAATATGTTCTTCCTGATGGAGGAAGTAACTTGTACCCAAATAGTTATCTGGTACAACCTGGATCAAGTGCATCAACTGAGCAGGTAAAAACATCTGCCAGCACAAATAATGATACCACTTTTTTGTTTTAATCTAAGTACTACTTAAGTAACTAAGGAACTTACCATAAATAAATCCCGGAAATACTTTCAGATGGAAGAAAATATTACAGTTGACCAGTTTAAGCAACTAGATCCAATTTTAAATTTGGATGTAACACAAAATGTTAAAGAAACCACTAATTGCACTGAGGTAAATTATTTTTCATTGCAGTGTAGATATCTAAAACATACCTTTAAGTTGTGATTGTAACTTACTTTTTTAAGTATCCCATAATGAGATGAATAGTAAAATTATATTTGCACCATAATAATTTTTCACTATGTAAGGGTTCCTTTCAGTTTTTTGAAACTTTATTATCTAACATGTTTCGAATAAGTACTATTGAGAAGTAGTTTTGACATGAGAAATAAAATTATACTCTTAATTATCCCAGATCACACTCAGTGATGAACAATATCAAATGTTGGAAGAAAGGGGGTGGATATTGCTTGAAACTAATGATAAAATCTATTTACTAGACACATTAGGCCTTCATGACATCACAACTAACGATAGTAAGTATTGTTTGTCGATATAATGCATAAATATTAATTTGTGATTTTTGCCACAGTCACATATTTAATTTGATTACCATACTTTTATATACCCAGAATTGATCCACAAATTGAAAACAGAAATTGAAAGCAACTTTGAAGAAAATGCAGAGGACAGTAGGTAATTATTAATCTTTAATTGATATTTTTATTATTTTATATTTTTGGAGCTATGCAGTCCCAGTGAAGCTGTAGTCACTGCGACCTCCTCCTTGGGCACCCCTATTATAAGGGCCTTTGTAACTCAAATATTATAACCTCGTTAGAGTCAACTTCTCAAACTCAAAAAACTCCTGAACTGGTGATAGAAATTATAGACTATTCCAATAGTTGTTTTAAACCTACTTCCAATAAGAATAAAAACTGTTTTTAATTATTTTATTTTCCTTCCAGATCCATTTTGCTAGAAAAGAATTTACACACTTTAGGTAACAACAGTATACCCAATAAAGAACAAACCAGTTTCAGTATTTCAAGTGATGTATTAGTTGTAAACCCAGGTTCTATAGAAAATGTACCTTTTCTCAGAAACAACAATGGTAAGCTTTTCAACAGAAATTCATTTTAATGACAATCACAGAAACTCCATGTATAAATAATAACAACAAAAATGAGTTTTAGGTGAAATTGTATATAATCAAGAAAACCATGGGATGAACCCTGATGTTGTTCTATCAAAAGATAAAGTAGGAAATGCTGAATTAAAAAAAGAAGAGACACTTGAACAACTTTGTGAGGATACTGCTACACAAGTTCTTATCATTGAAAATGATGGCATTCGTAGGGAAGGCAATAGCTTAAAGATAAAATCTAAATTATCTCTTAAAAGTGAGTATTTACCATATTGACTTAATTTGACAGCAGTTTATTTATAATATATTCAAAGAGAGATTTTTAATATATAATTATGAAAACATTCATAATATAACACAAAACTTGTTAATAGATTTTCCTGAAAAGATAGTTTTGGGCAAAACATTAAATGGAAAGCAGTTGGTTGCGAGAGTTGTAAAACCAAACAATAATGTAAGTCCTATGGAAATAGATAAACATGAACCCGAGCAGCCACATTTGGAAACAACAAATGGTCGAAAATGGGAGATTGAGAAAAACCCACCTGCAATACATTTAAGTAAGATATTTTTCTCAATTCGCAAAACCCTTTTTCGTATGACAATTTTTAGGGTTCCGTACCTCAAAAGGAAAAAAAACGGAACCCTTATTATAGGATCACTGTGTTGTCCGGCCGTCCCGTGCGTCCGGTTGTCAAGACCGTTTTTCTCAGAAACACGTAGATGTATCAAACTGAAATTCATATCTTATACTCAAGTCTACTGCTAGTGCTGTGAAAAAAATCAAACTTCTAAGCCAAAGCAATCAAAATATACAGCCGTTTATGCCGCAAAAGACATCGGTCAACTCCCATACATCGTTTTATTTCAAATTAAATTGTTGCGTCTCTCAACAAATGATATATCATTAGATTCTGCGTAATTTATTGAGCTTATATATGTAAGAATCACGACGAAAAAAAGCCGAGGAAAAAAGATATTTTGCTCTGATCATTTACTGGTTATGTTATTTTGACACTTTTGTAAGGTATCTGTATTACATTTTTTCATTAAAAAAATATTTTTTTTGCACAGAAATCATAACAAGTATACCAATATCACAGATAAATTCAAAATGTAGTAGAAGCGAAGCCATTTGATTTCATCGAGTGCGGTGGGCGTCTTATTTTAATTATTCTTAAATTCGTTCACAGTGGATATTGTGAAATAAAATTGGTGTGATTTTGTGTTACAACCGTCTGCGCAACTGAAAAGTGGAATCTTTCAAATATACGCTATTCCGGTCAAGTGGACGTGAGAATTTTATTATAGTATTGACTACCTCACATAAGCTTACCTGAAAAGCCAACTTGGTACATGTCGTGTGAAACACTCCAAGAAACATTAGAATGAGCCACACCGCGACATTCCAATGTAAAAAACGAATATTAATGAAACTAAAGACTTGGCTTTATGGGCATTGTTCCCATTGCCTTCCCCGAAAAGGGAGAATCTTAAAAATAAAATAATAACAAAGTCAATAATCCATTACAATAAATCGTTATTATAGACTAAAACCTATTGAATCTAGTTATCAGTTGATTTTTAATGCTGTATTTTCAATAAAAAGAAGTGCCAAGATTGTTTACCAAAAAGGACAAGATAAGATGATTGTCAATGCAGTGTTTTTTATATTTTTTTATTTTACTGGACCTTTATTTGTATCAATTACAATTTGTAAAAACTGTTTATATTAAATTTTCGATTTTTTTAAATTTTCGAATATAGCTTACGTCACGTTCTATTGTGTCTTGCGCTTGCTTTTTTTTTTTAATGTTGTATTGGTTCTGAAATGAGAAAGTCTGAAGCCACTTTAAAGGTATGGAGCATTACAATGTCTCCATCCGTATATTGAATATCTATAGAAATATTTTCAATTTTTCAATTTTGATTTTTTTCAATTTTCGAATACTGCTTACGTCACGTTCTATTGTGTCTTGCGCTTGTTCTTTTTTTTTAATATTGTATTGGTTCTGAAATGAGAAAGTCTGAAGCCACTTTATAGGTATGGAGCATTACAATGTCTCCATCCGTATATTGAATATCTATAGAAATACCTACTATATAGCTGTCCCAGCGAACTTCGTACCGCCATAAAAAATAGGGGTTGGTGGTAGAAGGGTGAAAATTTAGGGTTGTATGTATTTTTGTATGATGATGCTCCAAAAAAAATTGTTTAAGGGTATACCCTTAACATTTAGGGGGATGAAAAATATATGTTGTCCGATTCTCAGACCTACTGAATATGCATATAAAATTTCACGAAAATCGGCCGAGCCGTTTCGGCTAATAGTTAAAACTGTCTTTATTAGTTATTAATAAAATCTGAAAAAATAATTATTGCACTGCAAATTAATAATAAATTCACGATGAGAGTAAAATTAACGTAATAGATGCACAGAAAAAATAAAATAATACGTATAAGTCACTGCTACGATCGATACACGAATGAAACAAAAAAAAATGGCCGAAAACTGTACTCGTATATTGAGGAAGACAGGAGACCGGCTTCCTTCTCATCCTTACTCCGTGATTTTTGCTGGATGAGAGGTGACCAAGGTAGACATCTAGCGGGGATAACTGATCGATTGATCGTTGATCGGTTATCGACCGGTGAAGGCGGAAGATCAAATTGAATTGAGAAAAAAAATATTAAAAATAAAAATCACGATGGTAAAATAGGAGTTAATAATATTAGTATTAATATCTATTCCAGACGTTCAACTTTGATCCAAATATGATTTTGCCGATGTCCTTTCCGCAAATTTATGAAACTCACACAGGAATCAAAACCTACAGGGTAAAAGAACACAAATAGTTCAAAATCAAATAAAAAATGCCTCGGCAACACTTCTCATTCGTAAAAATGTAAAATTATGTATTTCCCAAAAATCACGGTTTGTCGTGAATGTTATTTACGTAATCGGCATTTTGTTATCAAGGAAAGGACAACAATACAGCTCAGCCGTTCGCACTCGGAAGCTGATTCGCCATTTCGCTCGCTCTACGTTGAAGCGTACAGTAGCACGAACCAATATCGAATTCGTATCGTTTGCGAGTCCGAAATGTCATTGTCAAATACTATTGTACTGATTTTTAGTTCTCGTTGCGTACTTTGTGCCGCTGTTGTTCAAGTTTCCAAACAAAATTTAACATTGACATTTCGGTTTGTAAACTATTCGAATTCGATAATGGTTCGTGCTAGGGGTTCTGTTCTGTCTCACTCGCTGGATTGAATGTTATTTACAGACGTGTGCGTGTGTGAGAGTTGCTTATGTAGTTGAGTTGGATCTTTATTTGATGCTAGTATGAGCGTACCGTAGTTCCCTTTTTATTTTAATCTAAGCGCACGAATGGAAAAAGGAAAAAAAATCAAAATGACAAGTAAACATAATCAAGGTATGGGAGCCCCCCTTAAATATTTAGTTTATTATTTATTTTAAAGTGAAACAACTAAATATTTTGTGAATATTTCAAGCGTTTACCTGTTGCCGTTAATAATAAAACGCAAAAATAACACGTTTGTTGTATGGAATCCCCCTTAAATATTTATTTTATTCTGTTTTTATAGTGGCAACAGATATAAATCTGTGAAAATTTCAACTGTCTAGCTACCACGGTTTATGAGATACAGCCTGGTGACAGACAGACGCACGGACAGGGGAGTTAGTAATTGGGTCCCGTTTTAACCCTTTGGGTACGGAACCGTAAAAAAATACTTGTCCAATGCTATTTGATGATCTACCTACCTGATAGACGAAGAAATAAAGTTAGCCATCGCCCCTATTATGGTGATGTATTTATTTTTCTTGATTCAGTATGTGCCAAATTAAAGGCTATTAAATTAAATTAGTAATTAGTTCAGTAATTAAATTGAGGTTCTTCTATGCCGAAGCAGTAAATGTCACTTTCTTTCAATTACAGGCAACTTATTGAATGAAACAGAATTCCTTTTGATAATAGAAGATTTGCTACAAAATAATAAAAACAATTGTTGTGTGGATGATTTTGTCTCAGCAGAATCTGTTATTTCCCAACTGCTGCAAATTCCCACATTTAAATCAATTGTTACAGAGAGCTATCTAGTTGTTACAAAGGTATTTTATTTTAATTATCTGTAGTACTATATGGTGTAACTAAAATTACTGCTTGTTACGTTAGGTACGCAACGGTTAGTAGCATAGGAGTTCTCTATACCGGTGTATGCGTACCTACAATGATTTACAAGACTGCAGTGTCGACGTTTTCCACGACACTTAGCGCGTATATAAGAGGTTGTTTGTGGAAAAAATAATTCAGTATAACTGTTTTTCATGATGGTGGATATATTTTTTGTTTGTTTAATCTGTCATTGTAGTTTATTTGTATTTATGTGAATGCTGTATTCACCTATTAAAAAGCATATCTTTAAGTATGGTATTTATATATTTTTTCAAATTGTAATATAAAATTATATGGTGTTGGTGAATCTTTGTCAATAAAATAAAAATAAATAAAATAGGATTAAATCAAACTTACCATCCGGACCTGCCCCCTTAGCACAAGCACCGCGGTATGATTTATAATTCGTTTTTATCACGATCAATTGTCAAATTAGTATAAAGTTTGACAGTTGGACGCGATAAAAAACGTGATACCTATAATGTAAATTGAGGTGCTCATGCTACGGGGACTAGCTGTCAGTGCGGTTTTTAGTGTTTTCAATCTGAAAAATGATAAATATGTAAGCGGCCGCCATAACCTATAGTCCCTCGCTATACCACTTACACGTTGTCTACTCTGATCCTATTTTCTAACCAGTAAAGCACTGAACCCTTACTTGCCGGCCGACAGAAACAAATCGCCACCAAAAGTTTTTTTATTTATGTTAAAAAAACAAGCATATGGCCCACCTGATAGTACGCGGCCACCATAGCCTATAGCCGTTTGCGATACAAAAAATGCCATTCGCGCCGCTGCCTACCCTGCCCCCCTGGCATGAGCACCGCAATATGATACATAGCAGATTTTTATCACGCGCAATTGTCAAATTACTATGGATTTTGACAGTTCGACACGATAAAAACATGTAAAAATGTATAATGTAGTTGCTGATGCTGCAGGGACTGACCCAATCTCCTACCGCTTGGAGCCCTGGAGCCTTATTCACCGGCAGAAACACAACACCATCAACAGATAGTGTAGTGTTATTTTACTGTGTAAGGTGGTGGTTACTTCCCCAGACGGGCGCTCCAATTCAAGCGGGAAATTCGCTATGCCTACCTCTCTTATTGACGCTGTTACAATACAACAAATAATGGAGCATCATAAAACAAGTTACTTTTTTCGAGTTCACTTATTTTTCATTTCATGCTTACACGTGTTGGATTCCAGACTGTACAAAATGAAGACTCTTCTGGAAAAGTTATAAATAAGGGCATAACAGCCGTGATAACTGGGAAAGTTTCGGATAGTAAATTTGGTTTCGTTCATTTGCCATATATGTTACAAAACATGATAAACCTTTGCAGTAAGTACCTTGTAATTAATTAGATGAGGGCATCTCCACATGATTTTAATTAACGTAAATAGGTATATAAGCTATCTATGTCTCGTGAATAAGACGTGCCAAGATCGTTTGTATAATTTGTTATAAACTTTATTGACACGACAATAAAATTAGTGAGCTATCTGCGTCTTTGAAAAAAAAAACTCGCGTGTCAATGCACTCTTTAAGTTAATCTAGTACATAATTAAACACCAAAAATCTAATGATTATGTCTTAAATCAGTTGTTACGGTTTCTTTTTTAGTATTGCCAAAAAGCAAGAATGGACAGGCCTTGGATTCAAGTAAACAGAGTTTAGAAGTGCTGCATGTGCAAATACTAGAATCCAAACAAAGTGGAGTTAAAGTGTCTGTCACTGTTAACAGAAGAAGTAAGTAATACTAACCAGCAGCGGTACTACGGATCCGCAAATGCAGAATATACGAATTATTTCAGTCATCTTTATCCGCATCTGCATCAATTGCTTTTACGGATGCGGATTCACAATTGTCAACTGTGAAATTATGTCGATTTGGTGAAATAGGGCCCTGCTTTTACTACCTACTTCTGATTATTTCACACTTAAACAAAGAAGTTAGCTATATACCTAGTCTGTAACCTTAACTTATAATCGTACGCACCTATCATAACCACAAAATTTCATACTAAAATGAAAAAGCGGCTAGCCGCGTAGTTAGCCGCCTACGGGGCAGTGGCGGCGCTAGGCGTCGGCGACGTCGGCCACCGACGACGGCCTCGCGCCTGAGGGGGTCTCGCAAAAAAATTTTACAAGTTACTTATTTATTTTCGTTTCTCCTGGCCTGGCTTAGGTAGCCGGCCGACCCCGAACAATTCGGGGAGAAAGCTAAGCAGATGATAATGACTTTTATTATTTTCGAACACGTGCGTGATGGAAGCGGTTACTAACCGCTTCCGGTTAGTACTTTACGGGTATTCAGAATCGTCTGTCTGGCAACACTATTTTTGTAATTAAATTTCTATGTTTGTAATTATTTTTTGTCATCATTTGATTATCAACAATAAAACTCGTTTACTCATACGTTATTTTATAATTTGGCTCACTTAATTTAACGGTTTTTTACTGCGAAGTAAAATAGGCCTCGCGAACTTGATGTCGCCGACGTCCACATGTGGTCTAGCGCCGCCACTGCTACGGGGTTTACCGCTTACATTCAGCGAAAACCTCAAGTGAAAGTGTTATAATGTTTATTTAACTGGAGATGAAAGTGCGGTAAGTTGAGAATTACAGCCGAGGCGATATTGTTAGCCCGAGCCATAGGTGAGGGCTATAAGAAGGCAGAGGCTGTAGTTATCAAACTGCACGTATGTCATACGACGTTTTATAACACATTTGCGAGGAAATAATAATACTACATTCTGAAAATGAATTTGCACCGTTGTTTGTTTTCCATAAGATGAAATTTTGATACGCTTGCCATTAGTAGTTGTAGCCATTTTCGACTTCTGGCGGTGTCAAATTAATAAATTCGTTACTACTTGACAATATTTTCAAATACAAAAACCATAAAGAAATACCTTTTTCAGAGATTAGCGATGCGCGCGCATCAACACTTTTTTTAGGCAAAGGAACAAAAAACAGCCAGTGTTACTAATAAAGTAAATTAATATTTTTGTGAATTTGTTACCGATACATGGTTGTAATTTATTGTCAAAATGAATCAAATTAAAGAATTAAATGTTTATATTTTATCTCCCAAAGTTAATTTTATTAAGAAAATTTTGGCTGCCTTTCTGACATAAAAACTCTTTGCTAAGATTTAAAAAAGTATCGTTCGTTTTTAGACGGAACATAATAAGCCGTGCGTTTTACTTTACATTACCGCACGCGTGTGTAATGTGATAGATTATGATATTGAAATTGGTGCAATAATAGACGTTTTACGAGCAAATATGTTATAAACTAATTTTGCGTAACAATAAAACATAGAAGGGGGTGAAATAGGAGATGAAAGAAAAGTTTGTATGGTTAACTACTTCTACGCAGGCGAAGTCTCAGGCATGTTTAATTAATCAATTTAAGTCTGTAGTCTAATTGCCGAAAATGAATTATCAATTCCTCCGCTTTTCAATTTTATAACACTTTAAATGAAATATATCACTACACTTGTCAGGTATCCCAATGGATTGGATTGCTAAAGTTCACAAACAGCTAACTGCTAGAGTGTACGCGTGTAGCGCTTGCGCGGCACTTTTTAAAACGGAGGATCTTTTGAAAGAGCATCAAATGGTAATAAAAAAGTAATTTATTAATAGTTTAAAAAGGTAAAATAATTGTTACAGAAATTAAATTAATTTCATATTTTTTCAGAATAATTGTTCGGAGCCCGATGACATTCTTACCATAGATACGGATGAAATGACACAAACTACATATTGTGTGGTCAATGAAGGCAAGGTGAAATCATATGAATGTATGCAATGCAATGTAAGTACTTATTCGATTAAAAGGCATTTTTTTCTTTATGATTGATATTTCCTCTTTTAGGGCCAGCCCCTCTAGCATGATCACCGAAACGGGATATAATAAAGCGATATATCGACATTAACTGTCAGACTACTGTCAAACTCCATAGTAGTCTGACAGTTAATGCCGATATATCGCTTTATCATATCCCGTTTCGGTGGTCATGCTAGAGGGGCTGGTGTTTAAATATTTGATAGAGTACGGATGTTAACAGTTTCGAAATTGCTGTTATTTTAAAAATCAAATCATGTTTATCATAAATATAGTACCTTTGATGAGAAAATTAACTAAATTTTAACTAATATAGTGAAGAAACACAAAAACTCACAAATGCAAATGTATGTTAGTGGAATTCAAAAGTGTTATTTTGTTTCGCAGACAGTAACTTTCTAAATAATTATAAAGTTCAAATTATATGTGTAGATTATAATGAAGCAGCTGTTAAATCTTTGCTGTTAAATTTTCTTTAAAATAAGGCCTTTCTAAAAAGTTAAATTTTAAGTCATAGTCAACTTTTTGATTAGTTATAATTATTGTGATCCGTATACATTTCATGAAACAAAACTTCAAAAAACAACGTATTTAAATTCGTTAAAGATTATGACAAATTAATAACGCGCTATGAAAAGCTCGTCTTTCACAAAATACTGCCACTACTGACGCTATGAGCTCGAGCGGACCGCTCGTGCACAGTTTGCAGAGTTGTAGAACTGTCATCTATGCGTGAGTAAAGTATCTTTGATGTAAACATATTTTAATAGACTTTTCTGCGCTACAGGCCTTATTTAATTTATCAGTATTTAGTATCGGTTACCTTATTTAACTTAAAATATGTGATTTACAGTATTCTAATAATACAGAGTATAATAAAATAAACACGGAATATGAATTTATGATTAGTGACAACATCCATATTCTATTAAAATTACACCTAATGGCATCCTTTTCTCTATAAAATAATTTTATACTTACAAAGCTTATTTTTAAGGTTACTATAGTTTTGCAAATTATTTTTTTACAAAATGTATTTTTCTCAAAAAGCACATTTCGCATACCATATGAAATGTCTCTTTCACATAATGTACCATTAAACAGCACTTTTTTATACAGATAAGAAGTAATAATCATTCAAAGTAATATTAGTAAAATTGTTTCAGGCAAAATTTAATAAACTCAATAGTTGCAAAAATCATTTAAAGACCCATGTTTCAAAAGCTCACGATAACAATATTAATGAGACAGAAAGCAAACCAAATGAGGTTTATAAATGCAACATGTGTCCATGCACTTACTTCCACCCTTCTACTTTATCAAAACATATACTTTCAAGACATATAAAAATGAAGTCTTAGTAAAACTTATGTTTCATAAAAAAATATTTTTATTATCACCTTACATAGATATACCTTAGTTAGAGCCTCAGACCAAATAAAAAGTTTTTATTTCTTAGAGCTTAAAGGCTCTAAGAGCCATACTCAATGTATCAAAATATATCATCTGAAAAAATATTATCCAATCCATCAAGTAAGCAGTTTTCATCAGGTGAAGGTACTATACTGCTTAAACCTGAAACAGATAATTATTTTAAATATTGTTTCTTTATAAGGTGTTTTCAGAATAAGTTCTTTAAGCTTTATTAAATGAATGCCATACCTGAATGTAATGATGATTCATTGACCTTGATGACAGTAAAATCACCTTCATAAGTTTTTACATACCCATCTGGCAATGCTGTATTAACATCACTGTCTATAACTACAGAACTATAAATAGCAAATATATTACTCAATGTAATATTCAAGTAATATTTCTTGAATGCACTTCCTGTTGTTAATATTGTTGGTTTCCATAAGACTATTGCGCTACATTCAGAGACAATGTAAGGTGCAAATTTTGACCAGGCATCTCTGTGTAATGTACACTTTATACTACCTGCAATAAAAAAGAATTTAATTTATAGTATTGAACAAAACTAAACTAATTTTTTTAATAAACAATGTCCAAATGTTATATTTTTAACATTGAGCAAATATTTTCAAATGTTAAATAAAAACATGGTCAAGTGCAAGTCAAACTGCACATTGAGGGTTCCATACTTTACAATATTTTGTTTGTGAGAGAAATACTGCCTGCTTTTACTGTTCACAAGAAACAGACTCGGCAGTCTCTATCTTGTGAACTATTGCTAAACAAAAGAAAGTTAGTAAGTTCAGTTTAAGCAGTAAAAGTATGAAACTTACTTTGTGTGAGTATGAAACTCTAAAAATATGTACCACAAGATACTCACCCATAGAATCCCTGAGTGTCACCAATGGATCAATGATAGATCTATCAACAGACTCAATGAATGCTGCAACAGTTTGAGCTTTTCTTTTCCGGATGCTACCAGAGATGCAGGTTTGTTTTATTGCTTTTGTTGTATCTATAGAGCCTAAATTCCAGTCTTTGATATCTTCTTGTAACCTCAACCATAAAGGAGAGTCAAATGCATCTTTTTGTAAACAATTCTGTGTAAAATCTACATCCTGAAAAATGTTATATGTATACACATATTGTTGAAATGTTTAGAAGTCACTACCACAAAGGCACTGAGATGAATGATTGAAAATTATTTAAATGTAAATATACAATAAAGATTTTTTATACTGAAAATTTATTAATTTTAAGCTTCTTTGTACAGCAATCTATAGTTTGTCAGTAAATAATAATTAGGATGTTCTTAAAAACTACTGTCTTTTTTGTCTGTGCTACAGCAATCCGACATTACTGTATCTATGATAATTAAAACCATTAATAAAATAGTACCTGTGACAACAGCTCCATTTGGCACACTACTGCATCTGTGTTCTCTTCAAGGACCCCAGTAAGCATCCCAGCAGGGCCTGGAAATTTCCTTTTACTTTTATGGTCAAAATATGAACCAATAATTTTTCTTTTTGTATGTTTAGGAGAAACAGGGTTTGATGGTACAATTATGTCACTAATATTTTCTTTGACATTTGAATTATTTCCGGGCGCCGGAGACATCATTGAATTACTAATATTGTCCTTCACGTTAAGTTTATTAAAGGGTTCTTGAGAATAATCTGACTTTTTTATTTTATCTGGTGGTTCTGTAAACTTTTCCAAATTGTGATGACTCGACGTTTTATTTGCTTCTGGTTCATTATTTGGAGAAGGAGCCACAGGAAATTCAAATTGGGATAAAACCTGAAACAGTACGTGAAATTAAACGAATAATAAATAAAAGAAAACATTTTGTTTGTTGCAGATTCATTTTACCTGATCAAAATCGTCCGACTCAAACATTATTCCTTAAAAATACGTTTATGTTTTAAATTATATATTGTAGATGTAAACCACCAATTCCAATCAATCCAATTCAATTGAATTCGAAATTATTTTTTATATAATTTCAACCAAAACATCGCCACCACAAAGGTCCAAAATCAACATTTTTTTGAGATTTACCCTTTTAAGGAAGGCAAAGGGAACAATGCCCATAAAGCCTAATCGTTACTTTATAAATCTTTTTTTTACATTACAATGTCGGTGTGACGCATTCTAATGGTTACTTTCCAATTACAGAGCATAATGCGACTCAGTGCCGCACAATGCCGAATTATGCTGATGCTTAATTGGAACGTGAATTAGTTTTCAAATGCACCAGCAGAGTGCGCTAAGTTCAGTGTTGAAAAAAAAAGTCAATGTCAGTTGGTACCATTGCACGCATCACACGAAAGCATCACTTTTGAGGTGTCCGTGATGCTAGCGTACCCACGATCAATATACAGTTTTTCGTTATGCCATTAAATACTGCGTAAATAGTGCCAAATTAGTGTAAAAATAAAAAAAATAGTGCCTCTTTAATTTAAGAAATAAAGACCATTTTTACTGTGTACGCTACCATGACGTCAAGCTAGCGTACCCATGGCCGACCCCAAGAACGGCATATATTTAAGCAACGAAATTGACACACAAAAATAGTTCGCAAATAGTGCCCTGGCTTTACAAAATTTCATAATCAATACTCTTAAAGTACCAAAGATATTGAACTAAACATTCTTAGCTGGCGTCAACCTGGCGTACCCATAATAGTTCTCATAGAAAATGAACTTTTATCGTTATCAATTCTATATGTATAAATAGTGTGTCAAATAGTGCCTCTAACAGTAAAAGTATTTTATGTGAATTCACAGTAAAACAATATAAAAAAAGCAATTAAATTATTTTTATATATAAAGTACAGTCATGTACAGAAGTGATAATATTTTCGTAGTATAGTAGGTAAGTAAGGTACTTTGTAGGTAGGTTGAAATTCTTATATGAATTTATGATTGGTGAATTCGAATTGAAATAAAATATCTTTTTATAAAAAGTACCTATTTATTATAGTAAAAATACATTTATAGATAATTTCTTAGTGCATAAATTAATTTTGTGTGCAACTGTACTACAATACATTTATTCCTAGAATTTAAGATTCTTTTTATATATTGTTGTGATGCGGATTCACATAATATTCTTTTACTGTTAGAGGCACTATTTGACACACTATTTATACATATAGAATTGATAACGATAAAAGTTTATTTTCTATGAGAACTATTATGGGTACGCCAGGTTGACGCCAGCTAAGAATGTTTAGTTCAATATCTTTGATACTTTAAGAGTATTGATTATGAAATTTTGTAAAGCCAGGGCACTATTTGCGAACTATTTTTATGTGTCAATTTCGTTGCTTAAATATATGCCGTTCTTGGGGTCGGCCATGGGTACGCTAGCTTGACGTCATGGTAGCGTACACAGTAAAAATGGTCTTTATTTCTTAAATTAAAGAGGCACTATTTTTTTTATTTTTACACTAATTTGGCACTATTTACGCAGTATTTAATGGCATAACGAAAAACTGTATATTGATCGTGGGTACGCTAGCATCACGGACACCTTTTGAGAGTGCTCCACGGCGAAGCGTTGCTTTTCAAAGCAACCAATGGTTGCTTTCCAATTACAGCATTATGCTTAACGTTGAGTGTTCCAACTACAGCAACGCTTCGCACAATTGAGCACTCACAAAAGTGATGCTTTCGTGTGATGCGTGGAATGGTACCAACTTAGAGACAGAAAATTAACAAGTGTTTTTTCTTTAAGTTGGCATTGATCGAAATGTTTTATTTATATGTTATCGTTAGTAATATTATTTATTGTTGAAAAATTATTAAAGCTTTCGTTTCATTCAATAGTTTTTTTTAAATAATCAAAGTTCATTCAAACTGTTAAAAAATAAATATAAGTATGGATGAAGGTACAAACATTGACTTTTTTTTTCAACACTGAACTTAGCGCACTCTGCTGGTGCATTTGAAAACTAATTCACGTTCCAATTAAGCTTCAGCATAATTGGGCATTGTGCGGCACTGAGTCGCATTATGCTCTGTAATTGGAAAGCATACAATGTTACTTGGAGTGTTTGGCACGAAATACATCGAGCTAGCTTTTAAATAGTTCGTTTTTAAAAATAAGACGCTAGTCGCCCTCGATGAAATCCCGCCAAAACTCCCATACAGATCAACAAATTATTCAAAGATTTTTTTTGTGTCTGTGGCTTTCTCCTTTTTACACAGAAATGTCGCAAATGTACCGTAGCGAGAGAGACACGAGAAAGAATGCTCAGCTTTCAATTAGCTGTGGTTGAGTAGCGAAGTGAAATTTTTTTCACGCAAAGTATTAATTATTAGAAACACATACACGAAATCTTTTTTGGCGGAAACGAATAGAACTCGAGAAAAAAGCCTCAATAGGGAGCACCCCTCCCCCCTCCCCCCATACTATCTTGAAATTCAACCACAGCTAATGGAATTAAGTACCGAAAAAGATTATGGTGGTACAAAGTCTATAAATAAATATCCGAATATCCGTTCTTCATTGAGCTGTTTACTTTTCTGAAAGCACAACAAACACGAAAAAAAGCAATCTCTCCGGATAACTGACAAATTTGACATAAGGTGCGTTCAATACCTCTATGTCTATATACTGAGCAAGTAATCTTTTACCGCCTTGAAAGAGAATGCAACTGGTTAAAAAAGTGTCCGTTATGCTAGCGTATACTCGAGGTTGTTACATACATATGCTATTAAATATAAAGCCTAAGAAGCCTAATTAAAGCAAAAATAAAAAATCTTCCTCTTTAGTGTAGGAAATATATGGCAGGAATACACGTGACTATGGCTGACACACTTGCTTTGTAAAACGGAGCAATATCATGCATGCCTGTTAACGAAACAGACATGCATGATACTGCTCCGTTTTACATGTATTTCCGTCTGACTGTTTTCATGATGTACGCTGGCGTGACGACCAAGTTAGCGTACACAAGGCCATACTCGAAAATGGCTTATTGTGAATATGATGCAACCAAGTAAGATAGTGCCTTATAATATGCAAAAATTCATAATGATAGCTCAGGAAGAAGGACTTTTAAATTACCTTTGGAGCTGGCGTTATAGTTTCTCTCTATACAGAATGAAAAGTTGTGACTGATGTTAAGTTTAGAGAATCATGTCAGAATCGACACCCTTGACATCTGTCATTTATAAGCGCGAAATTTTTAAATAATGACATTAGGAAAATATTTTGATGCAAATACCATTCGAAAAGTTGTAGCTATTTATTATTTTACTCAGGGAGACACTTACCAATATTCTATCTGGCTTATTTACTGATAGCTGTTGGAAGCAAGCCTCTCTCCCTGTTTGTTCAAAGGACTAGGTACTCGTCATATTTCAGATATTGCCCTTCCCTTTTTTTGGTTTTCTGCACATAGTACAGCTGAGCTCTTTAATAAAATACTATGTCCTTCCTTAGGCGTAGTGGAGCTAGCTCACCATGCAGAGGCCAGGAATGCTTGGTGCAGGGCATTCCTAGCGGTCTTTCAGGCAGAGTCTGGTTACTGGCTGCAAGGTCTTCCTTCAGCCAATATTGGGACTTTGCTTGATAGGAGCACTCTGTCTCTTGCCATTTTACTTAAAGTAAGACACAAGACTAAGTAAGTTGGGTCACCATGGTCTCTTATGCCAAATGAGCTCTGGTCAAGTCCCCGCCATGCCTGCATCAATGACCTCATCCGCAAAGCCCTTGTTGCAGTCAACGTGCCATCGGTCCTAGAGTCTAGCGGCATCTTCAGAGACCTGACGGAATGACGCTCATTCCTTGGAAGCAGGGTCGTCCTCTTGTATTGAACGCAAAATGCGCGAATACACTTGCCCCATGCCATACAGGTAGTACAGTACCTCCCTTGCTGCGGGCGTGGTGGTGGCCTCTGCTGAGTGCTTTAAGCGGCGCAAATATGCAGCTCTCAATGAGAACTACATATTTATGCCGTTTGGTGTTGAGACTATAGGCCCACGGAGTCCAAGCGCTCCTTCCTTTTTTAAGAAATTGTCTGGTGATCAAAAGGCTGGCAGCGTCCTTGGTCAACGAATTAGCCTTTCTATAATGTGTGGTGGTGTGGAAATGTGGCCAACCTATTGGGCACCATTCCTGGGACGGAGGCGCTGGGGATGATATAATATTTATTTTGTAAATTGTATATTATTAAAGTAGTTAATTCTCATTTTAAGTTTTTAGACATTAAGCAGTTTTTACGCTTTTGTATTTTAAATATTATATTTAATTCAAATAAATAAATACATTATTTATCTTCAATTAAATATTATTTTACTCATATTAATTTGCATAAGTGTTAATAGAAGATGGGTAAGGATGCATTAAGAAAGTTAAAAGTTAGGTTAGGTAATTTCGAGTCACCTCCACGAAGGAGATAACAATAGCAAAAGAGTAACAAATATTTAATCAGTTTATCTTGAAATACCTATGAAGAAAAATAGTATGTCTTGTCAATTTTATTGGAAATAGCGTCTATGCTTTTCGAAAAATCCCGCGCTTAGACACCACATTGACTTAAACGTCTAAAGTCGATCAAAGGTCATAGCGCACCTGAATCACCCGGCACCTGACCAGCACCACCTCGGTGCGCGCGGTTGATATATTCTTTGAATGTGCGCTCACTACAAGAACTCTGTACCGTCACCGCTTCGCCTCGCTCGCAAGCTGTATGCGCGCGGGCGGCGAGTGGACACCGTGGTGATGATAATGAAGACAGAAGATAGGTACCCATGTATTAAGCTACTTTAGTTGACTGTGACGATTGATGATAGCGTACATCAGATCAAACTCGAGATTGTTACTTACATACCGTACATACTATATATATACTACACTACTACTATTTTTATTGAAAAAAAGTGTCTTTACATTTTGTCATTGTCATTTTAAAGTCATCATTTGAAAATCTCCAATTAATATAGAAAGATTTGGTTTCTTGAATTTTGAACAAATTGTATAGTAATTATATGCATAAAATGGCCTTATTTGATGTATTTAACCCACTTCAAAACGTAACACCAAAGTTTACAGAAGAACAGTTGAATGAAATTATTGAGTGGTTTGACGCCAATGCAAAACCATTATTAACAATAAATGACGGCGAGTCCATAAACGTAATTTCCATAGAAAAATTTATAGATTTTTTGAAACTAAAGAAGTAGTGTATCAAAAATAATCGTCTTTTTTTATTTTTACTGACTTCATTACTTTAAAAAAAGCTAATATTCTGTTTCGAGCTTTGTTATTATTACAGATTTCATAGAAGAAGTTTCCATTACCCAACCTACGCGGAGATAATGTCCGAAGCTGAAAAATTAAAAGCAGGTGTGCTTCGAATGTTGACCAAAGAACAAGTAATATATATGTTAAACAGATGGGTTGTGGGCACTACCTTAAAACACGAACTTTTATTAGCTTTTAAAGTAAGTCTAAGAATTATAGACTTAAATTTAATATAATTATATATTATATTAAATTTAAGTCTTTATAATTTAATTAATAGTCATAGTGACGTATTTTTATATTTCGATATAAATAAATATATTAGATATTTTAAGTTGACTACAGATACTATGTATCTCGCAAAGAAATATAGGACCCAGATAGCTAATTTGTTAGCTTTTAATATACAAAATACGGTTATACATGGTATAACTAACTGTATTCGACAAAATAGTGTTAGTATTTCTAGTAAAAGAAATATTAATTCTATTAATAACTTAACCAGCCCAGTTTTAAACTGAGCTTAAAGACAAAAGCCAAACCTAATAAAAGAGTTATTAATATTATTCATCAAAATATACAAGGTTTGGCTGGCAAAGACCTAGAATTAGAATTGTATTCAAAAAGTGAGGACATACACATTATATGTTTAACAGAACACTGGCTCAAGCTTTGTGAAATGTCGTATCACATAAACAACTTTCAATTGTTGAGTGCTTATGTTCGTAGGACAGCCATACATGGCGGCTCATTGATTTTTGTTAACAAAAATATTAAATGTAAGGATAGAAAGGATATAGCTGGCCTTTCAATTGAACGTAGCATTGAGCTGTCTTGTGTGGAATTAAATGAGATGATAATAGTATGCGTATACAGACCCCCTCTAGGTAACTTCAACATTTTTGAATCTGTGATGGAGGATGTACTGAAAAAGTTAAAGTCGAAAAATAAGTTTTTGGTTGTTTGCGGTGACTTTAATATTAATATTCTTGAACAAAATTCAATGTCAGTACGTATAATATCATTATTTAAATGTTTTAATTTGACCCATCAATTTTTTGAGCCTACTAGGGTGACATCACATTCAGCAACTTGTTTGGATAACGTATTTACAGATAGTACTCCTGATAATAAATCCATTTTTAATAGTATTACATCTGACCATTATGGCTTAAAAATACAATATAAAATAGATGTAACAAATGAATCTAAAGTGATTGAATTGAGACCAGTAACAGAAAACCGGTTAGAAATTTTTCAAAAAAACATTGACTATAGTATTTCTCATATCCCATGGACACGTGATGATCCTGATATTCTTTTTGGGGATCTTTTTAATCTAATAAGAAATGAATTTGATAAGGCTTTTCCCTTAAAAACTTGGTGGTGTATTTATTTTCAATTGGAATAAGTTTGCTACAACTCTACTGCAGCCATATTCGTGGTAATATCTTAAAAGTACCTAACTACTTAACGATCCGCTTCGGCCGGCAGGTGAACATTGGACGTTCATGACTTGGACCTTTACCTCATTACAGAATACGGGTAAGCGTCAGAGCCCCTGGACGAAGTGCGATATTTTATGTTTGGAGACTAACAAAATTCAAAAATCAAAATACCCTTTGATACTATTTGATACCTTAAATTATGTAGTACCTCGACGAGAGCTGAAAAATTATGAAAAGAAAGTGGTCAGACATTCTGACGTCAGGTTGTCTGGACCATTTTTTTAAATAGGGACAATATATCTTAATTATTTATTTGTTAATATTCAATACTTTTTTAAAACCTCAACAAATATTTTATTTTCAAACTTTATGGCGTTCCATAAAAAAGTTACGGTTGAATGAAATTCTTTGGGAAGCAAAACTTACAGAAATTATGTATGAGATTGTCGCTAATTTTCAATAATAAATTAAATTATCCCGAAAAACAATTTTGCAGTATCAATTAGTCTAATTCTATTTAAAATAAATAAAGTGCAGCTCTCCAAACAGGTACCATATTCATTACTTTACTTTTGTCGCTCGGATCCTCGGATTATTTTTACGAGTAACTGCTTAAAACCTTCCCAAATTTTCTCTCTGTAACTGACATATCCGGGACCTCTTCGAGCTGGCACTACATAAACAACAACACGCCTACTTCACAGGAAAATCAACAGAATCTGCACTACACAGTTTGATCTCTAAGATAGAATGTGCAGTAGACTATAAATGCTCCTTACTAGCGGTTTTAATTGACATAGAAGGCACTTTTGACAAAACTATCTTCTATAGCATCAACGCAGCCTTCGAGGAACACGCTATGGACTCGACTCTGCGAGGATGGATCAAAAACATGCTCAAACTCAGAGCCGTACAGTAAACGATATCACAAGAGCCATCATTGCGAGGGGATGTCCTCAAGGGCGTCCTCTCGCCACTCCTATGGAACCTTGTGGTTGAAGCCTTATCAGATGTCTTAACGATAATGGTTATTTCACGGTGGGCTACGCTGATGACATAACTATAATACTTAACGGCACAAATGTAACCTTATGCATCAAGCCTTGAAAATAGTGGAGAACTGGTGTAAGGAATACAAACTAGCAGTAAACTCCGCTAAAACGGAGTCCTTTTTACAAAGAATAGGAAGTTGGTGACTTTACAACTACCTCAATTCTTTGGAACCACTCTAAGCATATCTGCTGAGTCCAAATACCTGTGTGTATTGTATATATGGACAAACAGCTGAGCTGGGCAAAACACATTGATAACATCATAACAAAAAGCCAACATAACTTTATGGCAGTGCAAAAGTCTGCTCTGCCGAAATTAAGCCCCAAAACCACCCACTGGCTCTACACCACAGTCATCCGACTAATCATCACATATAGGTTCTTAGTTTGGTGGACTAGGAACAACCTAAGCACAGCCAAGAAGGATCTTGAGAAACTACAAAGATTTGCCTGCGTAGCAATTACTGGCTTCATGAGAACAATACCTACAGCTGCCTTACAGGTGATGCTAAGTTTATCACCAAAGCCTAACCATCTTGTTGTACGCCGGCAAAACCTGTATTTGCAGACTTTGGCGCCCTTAACAGCGTACACTAACGGACGGACCTTACGCCGAGCCTCTCGTAAGTCTCACGGATGCAAAAATGAGAAGCCGTTAAGCAGTCCGCGCGGCTTATAGTCCGCTTAAAACCCTGAGAATACCCTCTACGCTATAAGGTGTGGAACCGTGAGATCCCCGTTTGGGGGATTTCAGCGCGTTTCCGAAATTGATAGCTTCCCTTCTTCTTGATAGCTTCTTGAGATTAGCCTAGCCGGGGCTGCGCGGCAGGGATCACCCGGGGTATCTCACAACAACGGTCTGAATATGGAACCAGGTGGGAGCAGAGTTTGCAACAATAGGCTAGTTGACTCATATCGAATTGTATTAAATAAATGTTTATTTCTTACAGTATTTGGTCTAAGGAACCTAAATATATCGATTTCACTTCATAAAAGCAGAAGATTGCTGTAGAAATTTAATTTTAAAAAATATTTTTTAGTCTATATTTTTTAAACACTAAAAACGCTGTTCGCCACATCCGCCATGATTGTGACGTCTCTTTCAGTAAACAACTAAATGTCATTCGCGTGTTATTGTGGGTGGATTCTTTAGTCTGAATAAATTTAACTTAAAACACTTTTAACTTTAGAAAAGTTTCCGTTTACTTTTTTTTTTGACAAAACTAATTATGGATGCCGGCTTTGTGAAAGCAGAAAGCACAAATCTGCCAAGAATTGACGCATTGATGGTTGGTGAATTTTTTGCACTAAACCCCCATTTTTGCTCTGCGGAGCAGAGAAACGACAAGGCATCTATGTAAGTACAGTGCATTTAGTATTACAATGTAGTAATAAACATAAAACTGATACAACATATGAATAAGTGTAATAAAGTTGCGTAGGTTAATTTCTTTCGGCACTTTAATCCATAACATTCCTGGAGTCTTCAACGATGTGTTTTTATATTCTCGTACAATACAATAATGATAATTACTTTATTTTTCGTGGTATTTATTAGAAATCGTGTTCTTTTTATCATAAACTCAGATAAGTTATTTTCTACGTGCTTACGAGTTTTTGTTTACTATAATTGACATCATAGCATAGACAATCTATAGACTAAAATGGCCGACAGCGTTTTTGTATGTCCATGAAAATTCTATTTTAAAATTATAGATTTGTAGCTTTCTAGGTCTCAAAAAAATACAATACATTTTTTTTCGGTCTATTAGAACATTTATTCACCATTTAAAACCTTTTTCCAAAAAGGGTCAACTAGCCTATTGCCTTTCGATTTAATCTCCTTGATCTAAAAACGTGAAATGAATTAACTAGTTCTTCCATGGACCACTCTACTGGAACATTCCTGATAATACTTATTCGAGAAACATTAAAAGCTGGGATGGATGCTAAGTAATTATTGTTAAGCAAAGCAGGGTGGTCTATAAAAGAATTAGCATCAGATGAAGACTTAAATTGTACAGAGATACGGTTTCTACCAACCTTTTTTACTCCATCTGCAACTACACTAACCTTGTGATGGTTCAGACTCTTTTTAGCTATGTGTACAATAAAGGTCCAATGTTCATTCATTCTTCAACCTTATACTGGATTTTTATTTTCCGCGTACTCAGGCAATATAAATGTTGATTGAACTGACGCGCCGTAGCTTGAGTCGGTATGTGTTAGAAAGGGTTTGTGACCGTTTCCTATTGATTGATGATGAATTTTCATGACTTTGAATAGAAGGAAAGATGTCTTGGGACTGCAAATACAAAAAGTAGCTCAACGCCGAAAGAAAAACTAAATTATATAAATTGAATGCACTTGTATCACGCATTCCGATTTCAATTCAGATCAAATCAAGATATAGGCCAGCAACAAATGTGTTTCTGTGGCTTCTGCCGCCCCTCAACGCTCGTTTTTTATACAATAACATATTTATTGCATTATAATGAAGGTACGATATTGGCGGAAAACGCAACTCAAAATGCAAATTAATTTCAAAATTCTACTTTTAAAGCTTTCCAGCAAAAAAATATACAATACTTAGCAATGTTTTTATTTTTAAGCATTTAACTGCTAGATGTTTAAATCTAAAGAAAAGTTTACAAGAAAAAAATTCACGCGTACCATTATGCTACCGCGGCCCTGACGGCCGTGTCGAAATTTCTCTAGCTTTAGGCCGCAAGGCAGCGCCATCTCTTCGCATTGTATAGTGCGATTCAAATAAGAATAGAAAAGCCAAAGACCTCCATCTGTCAAATGTCGCTTGAAAAGTACCGTTTGCAAAAAAATATTGAAACTTTTTTTTTGCACTCAGCTAATTCTAGAATAAAAGCCAAACATTTGTAAACAAACAATAACAAATACATATTGTTAATATTGGTTGATATTTTTTTTTCATTTATTGAGCTTTGGCTATTAGTGGTTGATAACCTAAATCGTCGACCAAATGACACTTTTAAGTTGCGTTCAGAAACTCGATTTAAATTTTCGTTTACATGAATGACGCATGTTCGTATGTGACCTAGTAATAGTGCATGATTATTCATAACTACTCCGGCGGTAATGCAGATATGAGCGGAATTGAAGAGTTAGAATCTGATTAATGTTTTTTCTCACCCAGTCTTAATAAATATTATTAAAATCCGGTTGCTTTTTTTTCAATCTTAATAATTAAATTTTATTAATATAATCGGATGTTTTTTCTTACTTAATCTTAGTAGATTAGTTTTATTAAATAAAAAACTTTTTTTGCTCACTCTACCTTTTTGGTTTGAATTGACAGCTATGACGGCACAATATGGCGTCCAGTCGGTCCTATTCTTAGTTGAATCGCATTAAAGGTAACCCACAATGTCAAATAATTACTTTTACAAGTATTAAACATTTGAAAGAAGGAATAGCAATTATATACAATACTTTTTTTCGGTCTATTAGAACAATTATTAACCATTTAAAACCTATTTCCAAAAAATTGACAATTGGCCTATTAAATGCACGTCTCCAGTGTGTAACTCTTGGATGGACTCAAGTAAATTATTATCTAATGTTTTATTCCTACCCATAGGTTTTTGATACAGAACAAAGGAATTTTTTGGAAGTTAACGAGATTGAGTCCATTGTTACTCAATTTGGTGATCTATTTGATGGGCAAGAAACACGTGAATTACTCCGTGATGGCAATGTTCGTGGCGATGGCAATGTATATTACGAAAATTTTATAGAAAGCATGTTCAGCTTGGCACCAGAACTTAACGAAATTAAGGTGAATTAACTACTTCTTTGTGGAATCAATTTAAATGCTACAAATTGGCGATTTTACTTTATAATGGTGTCGATTCTGGCGTGAATATATAAACTTAAAACTAAATTAAACATCAGTGGTGCCGATTCTGGCAGGATTTTCTAAACTTAAAACTTAATTTAATATCAGTCTGTCCTTTTCATTCTGCATACAGAATGACAAAGATACACTGTTGTCAAATTTAAGTTTAGCTTTAGAGACAACAGTGCATCCTTGTCCTTCTCTATACAGAATGAAAAGGTGAGACTGACCTTAAATTTAGTTTTAAGTTGAGAGAATCACGCCAGAATTGACACCAATGTCTCCTTTTTATTCTATATAGAAAATGACAAGGATACGCTGTTGCCAAATATAAGTTTAGGTTTAGAGAATCATGCCACTATCGACACCATTATTGCTGGCAGATTCATTAGTAACTTAAACACGTCTAAAATCGCCCGCGTCATGTTTTTTGTAGGTTGGTTATTTATACGAAGATCCCGACGAAGATCCGTCAGTACCTCCTGAACCTGTTGAAGAAGAAGAAGAGCAACCGGCTCCTTTATCACCTAAATCCCCACTTCCTAACTCGCCTAAAAAAGATAAGAAAAAGAAGTAACTAATTATTTTTCTTTTGTGTTTGTGATTTGATGGTAAATACTTTTTCACTGTCGACTCTTTAAGTAATTGATGTGTCTTTTATATGTTTCTACCTTTTTTCTTTCAGTCTATGTAATATTAAGATTTTAAGTAATAAAAATGTGAAAATGTATTAATGTGCGATCACTATTTTATTGGTAAAAAAAACTTTGCTAATTGGCGGTTGTGTATTCCTACAATTTCACCTTTTATGTGAGGTGCAGTGAAGCGGGTCCCACGGCATAAAACAGGCTCCGTGAGTTCTTAGGCCTTCGAATGGCCTTGCCCCGCTCCCTCTCTCCTAGCTATACTCATGAATGAAACACAAAATTAAGATGCATGTTGTGGCTTGAAGGTCAAGAAATACCTATTAAAACAATTTGCGCATTGAATGATTCATAACCGATTCATTATGAGAATAACATGATGAACCAAACCGGTGAGTCCACGGGCCCCTCAACCACTACGGTATACCACTATGTAACCGTTGTCCCAGCGCGTCAGGGCAATTTATATGGTATCGCTAAATGTCTGTATTATGTTATTTTATTTAAATTAGTTAATATGCAATGAAATGATATGGTCATAATATATTTTTTGGTTTATTAAGTAAATAATGGTGTCGATTCTGGCAGGATTCTCTAAACTTAAAACTAAATTTAACATCAGTCTCTCCTTTTCATTCTGTATAGACAATGACAAAGATACACTGGTGTCGATTCTGGCATGATTCTCTACTATACAGAATGAAAAGGACAGACTGATGTTAAATTTAGTTTTAAATTTAGAGAATCCTGCCAGAGTCGACACCACTGTTGTCAAATTTAAGTTTAGATTTAGAGAATCATGCCAGAATCGACACCACTGTCGTCAAATTCAAGTTTAGCTTTAGAGAATCATGCCATTAGTATCAATCCAATGATTTAATTGGAAAAAAAAACAATGTGCTTATGACCACACGACCGAAGTGAAACTTCTTTAGCTCCATCTGTATGTGCATGTATCATACATATATATGTATGTATAATATATACAATGTAAACATGAAATGAAATGAAAAGTCATTTATTCAGTCTAGGCTGTTACAAGCACTTGTGAAAGTCAAGAAACTACGCCATCGGTTCGCAAAATACGGCGGGAGACCTTGTACTGAGAAGAACCGGCAAGAAACTCAGCAAGGGCTGCTTTTTTCTTCCTGTATTGATATATACAGAGTCGTCAAGTTGAAAAATGACTTCAGACATACTTCTGAAGTCACCTTCCATTACATTATTTAGGGTATAGATATATAGTTACAACAAATTTTATATTTAGTATATATAGGAAGCGGCATTAGATAGGTACCATACTACTGTTACAAAACTGACTCATACCCATCAAATAAGAAATTACAAGAAACACTATGTCCATGCATTACGATCATTTAGATAATCATTAACTTTATAATAGCCCTTATTCATAAGAGTATTCTTAATCTGAGATTTAAATTTGGTTAGTGGAAGCTCAATCAGATCTTGGGGAACTTTGTTAAACAATGCAATACTACATCCCAAAAATGAACCTCTTGATTTTTGGAGTCTGAAACATGGAACGGCAAGCTTGTTCTTAAATCTCGTGTTAAAGTTATGGGTTTAACTTTTTTTTGCAAATGCGTTATAGTTTCTTCTTACATATATTATATTTTCATAGATGTATTGCAATGCCAGTGTTAAAATATTAATTTCTTTTAATTTTTCTCTAAGAGATTCTCTTGCCTTTAAATTATATATGGCGCGAACAGCTCTCTTTTGCAGTACGAAAATACTTTCTATATTAGCAGCTGAGCCCCACAACAAAAGGCCATATGACATAACGCTATGAAAGTAACCAAAGTAAACCATTCTTGCCGTTTCCACATCAGTTAGGAGTCTTATTTTTTTAACAGCGAAGGCCGCAGAGCTCAGTCTACTTGATAAGGCATCAATATGAGGATCCCATTGCAGATGCGAGTCTAAAGTAATACCCAGAAACTTTGTAGAATCCACTAACTCTATAGGCTGGTCATTTATTTTTAAACTAGTATTAACCTGCCTCATATTAGGTAAAGTAAACTTAACACATTTTGTTTTGCTAGAGTTTAGTTTTTAATTATTTACCGTAAACCAGTGAAGGACTTCAGAGAGAGCACAATTTACTTCGTCATAACAATCATTTCCTCTCCTAGCTTTAAACACTCAAGAGGTGTCATCAGCAAATAGTACTGTCTCACACAAATCTCTTGTAAAGTGAGGAAGGTCATTAATATAAATGAGGAAAAGCAATGGGCCCAATATTGAACCCTGGGGCACGCCCATAGAAATGGGTGCCCCTGTAGACTCAGCTTCATTTATAACTACTTTCTGAATCCTAGCAGAAAGATAAGACTGTATCAGACTTAGTGAAATATTTGATACACCATAATGCTTCATTTTATTTAACAATGTTTCATGGCTAACGCAGTCAAACGCCTTAGATAAATCGCAAAAATCATCAGAAATGCAAATAAAATAAAGTTAACGGTTCATGTTTATATCTATACAACGTAGTCTCAGAATATTGCTTCCATAGCGTACGCTTTACTAAATTTTAGACCAACAAATGTTCGCACACCGTGTGTGTTGAGTCCGTGGTCCCCGTGGGCCGTTTTTTTATGGACAAAAGTCACTCGTCTACACAAGCCATTGAAGATATTGGTGTCAATTCTGACACGATTCTCTAAACCTTAACTTAAATTTGACAACGGTGTATCCTTGTCATTCTCTTTAAGGATTGAAAAGGAGAGATTGATGTTAAATTTAGTTTTAAGTTAAGAGAATCACGCCAGAATCGACACCATTGTATGCAAGGAAGTTGTGTTAGTTGACTTCCTTGATTGTATGGTCATTCTTTAAGACTTGTCAAACAGCCTCCTAAGTGTGCCTCTCAATTGGCCAGATTTTTCGATTGACAGTGATCAGATCAGATGAGATAAAGCTTTCTGAAAATTTCATCCAATCTTTGTTAAAAACTAGGGCATAGTTTTTAAATCCATTAACAGAATCCAACTATTATTTACTAAATTATTGGCTGTATGGACTTAGTATTTTTAATCATCCTAGCGGGAAAAGTAAAAAAAAAACACATTTTTTTTCTTTCTAGACATGGGCGTTTTTGGTTTTGAACGCAAACGGATATTTATCGGATTTCAGATTTCAAAATCGATTTTAAAATCCGTTTTTAGATATCCGATTTCAGATGTGCCAAACTTAGCCAATTCACTAGTTTGTGTTATGATTTGGTTTTATTAGCTAACGACAATCACAAACAATTAATTGTAGGAAGCAAGAATACTCGTAGATTTTCGCTTAGGACTAGCAGAAAAGTTATGTTTACGGTTAAGAGTAAAACTTTTGCGGCGCATTTAAAAATCGACCTATATACAATGATTTCTTTTTACATATTTTTTTAGTATTTTTTTTTGTTTTTCTGTTTGTTTTTATTATTTTTCAAACCATTTACAAAATCAAACCTAATTACTTCAGGTTAGCGTCCAAAAATGTAAGTTGCTCGACTTTTGATGTTTTTAGACGACATATCTTTTCAGTGATAAATAATCCCGCCTCAGAGAAGAGCAATAGATTTCCGTAAACAGCAAATCGAAATCGGACTTCCGAGCACGAAATCTGACTTCCGAAAACGAAAGCACGAATTTCGAATCCGATTTACATTTGGATACTTGTGGTATTAGATCGTTTTGGTTCGGTGAGATTTCTTAAATCGGATTTTCTTGTTGAGAAATCGTTCGGTATCGATTTGTGTTTGAAATCGGATTTTGGATTCGTTTTGATATATCGGACGCATGCCTATTTCTTTCATTCCATTCATGTTTGATTCCGATTGGTTTGGTTGGTGTTTGTAATAAAAATAATTTTATTTGTCAGACAGCGTCTATCAAGATTATGTATCTCTAATTAGATTCATGTAGGTTCGTAAAAGCTACTTTGTTTTAGCTAGTAATTATTTTAATATTTTTTAAGATACCGTAGTAGGAAAGCAATGGATTTGGAAGACAATGCTTTGGGCTTGACCCAAGAACAAACAGACAAAATTTTACAATTCCAAGATTTAACCGGCATAGAAGACATGTCTATATGTAGAGATGTTTTGCAGAGACACCAATGGGATTTAGAGGTACGTAATAACTAGTGATATAGGTGTTTGCATGGGATGGACATTTCGTCACTGGAAGGATTATTATCAAAAAATATTATTTGTGTGTTTTGTAGGTAGCAATACAGGAACAGTTGAATATAAGGGAAGGACGTCCATCTGTTTTTGCAACAGAAGCTCGTGCACCACCAGTAGTGCATGACCATATAGCACAGCAAGTATTCACAGATGAGTCAGCAGATGGACCATCGGGTGGCATGCGAGGCCTTCTACGATATGTCGTTAACTTAGTGGTATCCATGTGTTACAACACCATATCATCAGTTCTAAATGTTTTGCTGAGCTTCATACGAAATGATGATAGAAGATGTATGTCACATGTTGATTTATTATTCCACTTAAATTTCTTTTATTTATTCAGAATTAAAAATGTTATGGTCTCTCAAAACTGTGCTTAATCTTAAACAGCTTTAGGCTCCATGATGCAAAAATTGTTTAATTTAATCTCATTTGGTAGAAAAACATTTATTAACATATATTGTGATAATATATTTAATTTATATTTATCTTGCAGTGGTGACTGATCCTCTAGGGGATGTGATGGGCTTCATAGTTAACTATCAATCAAGGTTTAATCCTCACCCTGTATTCTACCAGGGTACATATGCACAGGCTCTTAATGATGCCAAGAATGAACTTAGGTTCCTTATTGTATATCTCCATTCGGAATCAGCAACAGAAACACAAAACTTTTGCAGGTTTGTTGTGGTATTTGAATTTCATATTTGGGTACAGTAGTTAAACAGCATCGTAAAAACAATGATTATCAGTCTAATCAGGGGTTTATTTACCCTAGGGTCAAAAGGGGCCATGGTTCAGGGCAGCGGACCAGGACGGAGGGGTGGCTGAAAGGGCTGCCAAAGCCATAATTGGGCATTTGTCACTGAACTACATTTTGATTTGATTTACTAATTCTAGTGGGGTGCAAATCATAAATGGCCAAGGGCAATAGATTTCAAAATATGCCCCTGAGTGAAATAGTTGTCTATCTCTCATTGGAACACATGTTTGATGCTCTGTCAACCTGTCAAGATGTATAAATGTTACTTACTTTTCATATTGTAATGCTGTATTTGTGGTAAACTTACTTAGCAAAACCATTTTGTTGAACATGTCAATAGAAATACAATCATTCAACAAATGGGTCTGCAAAAATTATGGTGATGATTATACAAATATTGGATATACTCTAATGCTGGCACTTCCCATGGCTATTCGTATTTGTCATTTTGGCAGCAGGTTATCCTTATCATCCTCTATAGGGTATGAAGAGGAGAGATTGTTGTCAAGTTTACAAATAGGAAATATGAATAGCTATGAAGGAAGTGCCGGAATTACAAATTTCAATGTGTCCAACAAGTTGGCCCTTGCAGTGTGACTGTATTACTTAAACTTCTGATAATAATACACACTGTTCTTAATACCTTAGAGCTGTTGCTTGTCCAATTTCATGATAAAAAGCATAAGTAGTTTTGCCACAAAAACATATTCAGAACTAGTCCGCTGCATATGCATATGAAAATATGGCCCATATGTAGTTGAAATAGTTCCATATTTGTCTATGTGGCTTATAAGTCAAGTTTTAAGACCTGCAGTTTTCAATTTATGAAATGTTCATGTACATTCATGTACTTTTACATGCTGTTATAAGTATCATCTAATTCAATAGATCTACTCAAATTGTACTACCCTAATCATGATGCAGAGGGATGATATTTCTTCAGATTCTAAATATTTTATTAAGCTTCTGATTGTTTACTTGCAGAACAACACTTGCTGATCCTGAAGTGATCCAATTCATAAACACTCACGCCCTGTTCTGGGGCTGTTCAGTGGACACATCAGAAGGATGGCGCGTAGCTCAGTCTGTGGGTGGACGGCGGTACCCTCTGCTGTGCGTTGTGTGTGTTCGCGAGCACAGAATGACTGTGGTGGCTCGTAGTGAGGGAGCTTGCTCACCGACGCAGCTGTTACAGCGTCTGCGACACGTCGTGGCCGATAACGAGGCTCATCTTGCTGCTGCAAGAGCTGATAGGTCATTAAACTGCTGGAGAATGCTTTTCCCTTTCTAATAAATAAATAATAATAATAATAGATATTTTCAACACTCACTCCAATTAGCTTAGCACCAAAGTTAGCACTGAAAGACTTATGTTACAGGTTACTAGGGTAACGGAAAGAATACATATACTGATACAAGTATAAGTATATTTTTTATATAGTAATACATTTAATAAATATCCAACATAGGTACAATTGCTCGTATTCATCTTACTAACATTTGTTCCACTGGGACTTTCAAACCCGGGACTTCACGAGTAGGCGACACCCTGAAACCCGGCATACATACCTTTCGCCCAAGCAGGTCGTCAAATTCTTTAAGGCCCGTATTAATAGAACATTCTTAACTCTGAGATCGATCTTGATCATAGTCTCAGAGTTGAGAGTGGTCTATTAATAGAGGCCTAGGACAGACCTGGGACAATGGTCACTATCCTCTTCACAGGTGCCTAATGGTAAACAACCGCTGGAGCTTTAAGATTTAGGTTTACACACACTACATCATTCATGAAGATATTCCTCTGTGTGCATTCGCCATTGAATAGATTCACAAATGTTTTGTCACATACAACGCTAGTTTTAAGTAACAACTCTATTATTGAATTTAGTCGAAGGATAAAACATTTTTTTAATAAGAATCATTTGACATGTTATCCATATCTGCCTTTTGTAATATATCTGGCTAATACATATTTCATCAAATAATCAATTGCTTTTTGTTTTGGGGTCTAAAGGTAGTAGCCCGTTTATTAGATTCTGCTCCAACATCACTCCCACCCAAAACCGCCAAGATAACTCGCAGTACTCACGGCGACAGCTAGCAGGCACCAAGCTGTCCCCGCGTTGACCGCTTTCGCTTTTCGCAGTAGACACATTTCGTGATCCGTTTTCATCGACTTCTTCGTAAATTCTTATTTCTTTAATAAGTTATTCTATATTCATAATGGATACCGAACGAAAGAACAACCAATATAATGTAATTTTTGCCTAGCAATAAACTCGGAACTAATAATATTTAGGGTGGAGCGTGAGGTGACGGCTCGCCTGAGAGCTTCACAAGACGAAGCGTATGCAGAATCATTAGCAGCGGACCAAGAGAAGGAAAGGCGCCGAGCGGCAGAACGAGCAGCTATCCAACAACAACATAACGAAGAAGTCCGCAGGAAAGAACTCGAGGAAAAGCATAAAGTAGAGGTAAGCTGTAGTCTAGTTATACAATTTATTCCTATCTAGCTGTGCCCTGCGGTTTAACCAGTTATTTTGATAATGCCCATGTGGTACTTGATTATCATTTGTTTGCATTATCCAATGACATCTCACATCAGGGGTAGACTTAGATTAAAACAAAAAGGGAAGATACGGTACGCTCATACTAGCATCAAATGAAATATGATCCGACTAGTCTATATAAGCAACTCTCGCACACGCACACGTCTGTATATAAACATTCAACCTAACGAGCGAATGAGAACTGTATGCTTCAACGCAGTACGAGCGTAACGGCGAGTCCGCTTCCGAGTCCGTACGGCTGAGCTTCTTTTTGTCCTTTTCTTCATAACAAAATGGCGATTACGTAAATAACATTCACGGCAAACCGTTTTTTTTTCGAGATTTTTTTTTATACCTTTTAGTGCGCGAGCACACGATGCGTTGCGGCGCCGCACACTGGTCCGGATTTTAAAAAAAGTGGACATTGGAAATATACGGATTTCAAAAATACTATAAGATAGTACTAATGAAACAGAACAATAAGTGTTATATGCAACTTTTCATATAAATGCGCTATTCACATATAAAAAAATACTGAAAAAAAAGTATGGGAGATAAACCTTTTTATTTTTCTTCTCGAGACTGTTATGAGCTGTCAAAGTTTAACTAATACAGTGATTTAGAACTACATTTCTTAACACATATCAATTAAAATATTTTTCCGTCACGCGCGGCTTTGCCTTTGAGGGGGTTTCAAATATAAATATTTTGTTAATTTTTTTCCTCGTGTTTTTTTCTTTTTTATCATTACTTTCTATGGATATTTTTATATTTTGACACAAACGTTGAAAAGTAGCATTGTCTATGATAAATTTTAATCTGTAAACTCATTGTTCGAATTTAATATATAGTAGTGTGCTGCTGTCAAAGATTAAAAAAAATGTAATAATATCATCTACTTTATGAATTCCACATTTGATTAACCGAAAACACGAGGAAAAAAAATATTAAAATATTTTAATTTTTAAACCCCCACATTTTAATTTAAAATTTTGAAACATTGGAAATATACGGATTTAAAAAATACTATTAGATAATACTAATGAAACAGAACAATAAATGTTAAATGCAACTTTTTCATTTTTATAATATCAAAAGTTTTATTAATCTGGAACAACGGAACCAAAGCGCGATTCAGGAGACTACAGCGCCATCTCTTGACCATTGGTGTAGTAGAACCAAAAACCACATCTTTATTTTTTGTAATAAAGTAACAGTTATAGGTATTCATATTTATAATATTTATCCACATGTTTCTAGTTTGTATATTCGGAATACGTGTTTAAATTTCATACAAGTGCAAATCACATATGTTCTAATAAATTATATTCAGTAGCGATTTTAATTGAATATTTTGATTATTTATTTATTTTTTCAAATTAAAACTGAACTTTATTGACTGTGTCCTTTTCCAGACTTTTTATTAATTTATTGTAATTAATTATTTGCATGCAATTAAAAACTAATTTTAAACGATGCCAAAGAAGGATAACTTCTCACGCGCCTACATAAGTACACGCACCCATTTTTTTCACGAGACTGTCATGAGCTGTCAAAGTTTAACCAATACAGTGATTTAGAACTAATTTTTTTAACACATATCAATTAAAACATTTTGCGGTCACGCACGGCTTTGCCTTTGAGGGGGTCTCAAAATTAAAATATATTTTTTTTTCTTCGTGTTTTCGGTTGATCAAATGTAGAATTCATAAAGTAGATGATATTAATGCATTTTATATAAATAAAAGTTTTTACGGGTTAATGCACGAAACTTTATTTATTTATTGACGTTTCGTAAACTTTTAGAAAAAGTCTTTCGAAGGTAGCTCGACAAATTAAATAAAAGTTTTATTCTGACGACGAAGCCTGTAAAGGCTACGAAACGTCAATAAATAAATAAAGTTTCGTGCATTAACCCGTAAAAACTAGTTTTATTTAATGAGTGATGTGCGTGAAAACCTAAGAAACAAATATGTTAATGCATTTTTTTTAATCTTTGACAGAAGCACACTTCTTATTAAATTCATACAATGAGTTTACAGATATGAAATTTATCATAGACAATGCTACAATTTCAACGTTTTGCGTCAAAATATTAAAATATCCATAGAAATTAATGATAAAAATGAAAAAAACGAGAAAAAACAAATTGGAATTTTGGATCCCCCTCAAAGGCAAAGCCGCGCGCGACCGCAAAATATTGTAATTGATATGTGTGGAGAAAATGTTTACTTTTTTCAAAATCCGGACCAGTGCGCCGGATTTCGCTGCATCGGTGGGCACACGAGCGGTGCGGCGTGCCGCGACGTTGTTACGTCGTAAACGCGGCGCGGGCAACCCGCCATACATTCGCTGCATACATTCTCTACGACGCATAAACAACTGAGCGGTGCCGCTCCGACGCAGTCACCCCTCCCCGCCTCGTCTCGGTGGTTGCAAGTCCGGTGAGGCGCCGGAGCGCATTGTGTAACATGCCACAGATATTTCTATGTAAGACAACGCAGCGACACCGCTCCGGCACCGCACCACCGCCGCAACGCATCTTGTGCTCCCGCTCTTACGAATGAAAAGTGTTGCCGAGGCATTTGTTATTTGATTTTGAACTATTTCGAAGGCATTGTTTTATCTTTATAACACAGAATATACGCAATATTATAATATATGTTATATTGAGTGCCCATGCAGCGTATTTGGAATTTCCAATTGTGACTAAAGCAAATTGTGGCGATGCACCACAACTTAAGCAGATCACTTTTGAGCCGCTAGTCCCGTATCTTCCCTTTTTGTTTTAATCTAAGGGGGTAGTAGTCCAGGCAACGCAAAGGTATAGAGGGAAATGCTAATAACTCTTCAACAATGCCGGCCGTAAGGTTGTTGGATCCACCAGTGAGCAGCATGCAGATTTCGGACAAGCCCGCCAAAAAAAGGATGGAGCTGACATTGCCAAGCTCACCGATTGGTTTGAGAAATTTACTCCCTTCCCAGAGACATTATCAAGTCACCAGAAATCCAGAAAGCAACAGCGGTCTTTTCACACCCTTTCTCCACCACCGCTTAAGTACAAAAGGCGGGTGAGACCTGCATCTTAAGGTGGTATGGAGCTCCAGCGAAAGAGATTTCCCTCAATGCCTACCGGTACAAGTCATTCTTGAAATCAGTGGCCACCATCAAGCCTGATATCTCTTGTCTTCCTCCCACCGAGTGAGCAGTAAAACCGCATTCCCAGGAAGTGGTGGCAAATTTTTTTTTCCATAATTACAGACTTTCAAGAGCGGATATCTCGAAAACTATACAGGATATCAAAAAACTTGACAGAATAAGACTTGGAATGGATGAATGAATGGATCATTAACGAGTGCAATCATATGGCTTTTGCCGCCCTCTCGGGCCTAGGGTAAATACGCCCCTGGTACGAAACACTAAAACTGAGCTAAGCACAGGTTGTTGTTGACTGGTCACTAAGGCAGACGTATGTTTTGCGGTGGGCAGGTGCAGGAAGCGCGTGCGGCAATGGCGGCGCGACTGCCGGCCGAACCTCACGCGGGCGCCGGCACCGTCGCGCTACTCATACGGCTGCCCGGCGGCGAGCGACTCACGCGCCGGTTCACGCTCACACACACTACGCAGGTATCGTACCGTCACAGGGCGAGCCACACTTCATGGCGGGGTGAATTAACGCGGCACTGTCGCGCTACTCATACGGCAGCCCGGCGGCGAGCGACTCACTCGCCGGTTCACGCTCACACACACTACGCAGTTATCGTACCACCACAGGGCGAGCCACACTTCATGGCGAGGTGAAGTAACGCGGCACTGTCGCGCTACTTATACGGCTGCCCGGCGGCGAGCGACTCACGCGCCGGTTAACGCTCACACACACTACGCAGGTATCGTACCGTCACAGGGTGAGCCACATTTTATGGCGGGGTGAAGTAATAATGCGGCACCGTCGCGCTGCTTCTACGGTTGCCCGGCGGCGAACGAATAAATGTCTAAGAAATCATTTTTATTACAAGTTCGTTCTCCCTGTATTCCCCATTTCCACCTGGTCCTTTCAGTTTCAGCGTTATTGAGTACCAACAATTTCCATCCAAGTTTTTGAAATTGTTAGTTCATGGATCCTCCATCCTATCTTTTTTTATTCATATGTATGTTTGTTTTCTCTACCAGTAGAAATAATTTTAACCTAAGAATTACTTTTTAAATAGAACCACTCGGCACCCGACCAGAACCGCCTCGGCGCGCGCGGTTGATATTATTTGTATGGTTTTTCTATGGGGATGCTCTTATTACACTAACTCCGTACCGTCACCGCCTCGCCTCGCTCGTACGCGAAAAACGTGTTGTACCTACGCGCTCTGTCTCGCTCGCTCCTATGCGGCGGGTGGGGCGGGCCGCGCAGCCTTCGCGGTTTTCGCCCCCCCGACGTAAGCTGATTGACAGCGCGGCATCAACGAGAGGACGGCGCGAGCCGAGGCGGTGCTAGTCGGGTGCAGGGTGGTTTCTATGACCTCAAAGCAATCTTTCATCATCGTCATCATCATCAGCCTATTAATATACCTACTGCTGGGGCACAGACCTTCCCTATGGATGGAACGCAGGCCCAGTGCGGATTGGTGGGTGCTAACGACTGCAGATGTAGCCGGGACCAACGGCTTAACGTGCCTTCCGAAGCACGGAGGAACTCGAGATAAAAGATTTTTGGTCACCCATCCAATGACCGATCACTGAGAAAGTTACTTAACTACAACGATCGCAGCCGAACGCGCTAACCATCCGCGCCATCGAGCTCCTCAAAACAACCTTTAGACACGTGCAACACCTGTGTTTAACTTGTCCTAGCTCCATTGCCCCGCAGATGTCTACCTCGACATTGCCTTCAGTGTCGGAGCAATTTAAATACATGTTAGTATAATTTATGTTATCTCTTCCAGGATTTGTACGATTTCGTGTTCAGTCACCCACAATCTCCCGAGGAGTTCGAGATAACGACCAATTTTCCTAAGCGGGTACTCGCGAGGGGCACGGCGAGTCTTTGCGACGCCGGCCTTAAAGACAGAGATGTGCTGTTTGTGAACGACGTTAACGCTTAGACTCGTGATGTCACAAATGGACCTGCCTGTCAACTGTCAATCAGTCTGACAACTGACAGCTTATCGGTATAATAATGTGGAGTCACCGAAACAACAGTTAAGTGGGCCCCGTATAATTTTATTTAAATCTGTGTATGGGATATGAATGCATAGAAGCTACCGTGTTTTAAAACTGCCAAATGTCGTTATTTTGATATGAAGAGAATTACTCATTGTGTTGTATTAATTGTTGAGAAATGCAGTTTTATGTTATTAAACAATCATGTCTTGTAACATGAACTTTCTAGAATTTAAGCGTACTCTCATTATGCGTAAATCGCTTCAAATACTGTAATATTGCATGGACAACAGCTAAGGAGAGATTTTCTATCCATAATTGGTATCTAACAAGTTCACAATATAGATGAGTTTTCCAACTAAAATTGTAGGTCATTTAAAATAATCCTTCATAGCCTAATAGTGAAATTTGGTTAGCACTAAACTTGGATAATAATCCAGGCACTATGCCTAATCCATTAATGATGTAAACCAAGTAGAATCATAGCAATTCTACATAGGTACCTATATGCTAAGCATCTAACGTCAAGTCCCAGATATACTCAAAATACAGCACCTACATATAAATGTATTTCATTCCGATAATTGTGCATCAATTTGGCTCCTTTTTTCTTATTATTGTAATGATTTCTTTCGTACTGTTAAAATTCTTTTTTATAATATAATTAATGTCATTGATTTAAAATGACTGAAATTTATACAAAAACTATATGAACATAATAATTAGTCATAATTTAGCTTATTTTACATACATTACTTTTATCATGGACAAATAATATTGGCCCATGCTTATATAAAATTTTATCAGATGTTGAAAGTTTCGTTATTTATTTGGAATGTTGGCAAAATTTGTTTGATTTTACTAGTTATACATCAGTCCTGTTCCTGTGCGGGCAAAAGATAAAAAGACAGATATTGTTGGTTTTATTTTTCATTATTTTTTTGTGGGTCCATTCTATACAGTGGAATGAAATGTGTGCTTTGCATATAATTCTGTTCAGACAGCCACGGGTAATGTTATCAAAATGCCAATTTTCTCTTTGCTGTTTGAGCTTTACATTGCTTGATATAAGATTCATAATCGATTGAAAAATTGGCATTTTTTCGTAACCTAATGTGTCGCTGACTGTACATAAATACTAGTTTTATTAGTTTTCCATGTTGTTGTGTAGCTTGGGTCCACTTTATTTAAGTGATTCTACGTAAGTTGATTGATATTTTGTAAGTAAATTTAAAACAAACTGCTTGAAATCGAGGAATTTCCACAATAGTAATTGTGTGTGCTTTTTCGCGTCTGTCGCTGTTTCATAGTGTCTAATGGTTCCTTTCATTATCCTATCCACAGTAAAAAATAGTTTCAGTAGTGCACAATTTTGTTTTTCAGCATTCATTAGGTAATTTACTATAGTCATGGCACGCTATGATGACTGTTTTGTTTGACACATAATAGTGACGTGAAAAATTAATATGAATTTTTATATAATGAAATAATGTTAATTTGTATTTTAACCATTATTAGTAGTAGTTAATTATAATAAAATAATAATACTATCATAAATTTTAACTTACACTCAGCATTCCCATATGCAGCGATCATATTGTTATGCCATGAATAACTTCACTATCATTATAATACTATTTTTATGATATACATTTCACAGTGATAATAATGTTATTACAATTAATTAACTTAAGACATTTGTAAAATCTTAAAATTTCCGACTGGTAAATTGTATGACTAAATGCGTGTCACTAATGGCAATAACAATATATAACATTCTCAAACTAATTTTTAAGAAACTTCGTTAGCGCATAAACTTCAAAACGGCTATCATAGCGTGCTGCTAAGTGATTAAGCTTATATGCTGACCAGAGTTGCTTAGATATATATATTTGTTATTGTTGGTTCTACACAAGCAATAAACAGTGGATAGGTAACTTTGAATTACCGTTGTTTATAATAGTTACAGAATTCAGGAAACTCGATACATATATTTCTTATTTAGCACTATGTGTGCATTGATAAATGCTATTTCGAGATCAAATATGCACCGAGAAACATTGTTTTGATGAATTCTTTTTTTATTATTAGGGTATGGTTGGTTTTTTAAAAAATGGTTGAGAGTTGCCAGTCACAAATTAGGTACTGGTTTTGATTATTGTTTGGTAAAATGACGTGCAATAAGGTGTGAAGTAAAATGTACCTAGTAGACGTGAGTTTCAAACGTGCTTGCGAGGGTGCAGTGATTTGAGTTACGGACTGTACAAGCATTTAAGTATGTGTTACAATGTATTGTTGTATAATAATAACGTTCCTTCCTTATTCATTTGTTTTATTTATATATATTAGAAGGAGTATTTGCAGCGAAGGAAGACTTAAGTTACAAGATGTGGCCATATCTAAATATGCTACGGATGATGGCGGCGAATGAAAAAGACATAGACCGGGAGATGATGACACAAAATACTTGGTCATTTGTACCAGTATGGCGGTTCTTCAGGGGTCTAATTACGTAAAGGCAAAAAGGAAAATGATGGTCATAGCGCTCGCACCGGCGGCCCTATCGCGTGGGCGTTAATCGAACGCGTCGGATAAATAACGAGTGTCGAACGATTTCTTCCACAAAAATGCTTATATTTTCAGATAGTCGAAAAAAAGAAGTAGGCGGTAGCGTAATGCCATACTTCTCGGGTGTGACTTACAGCCCGCCATACCGACGCGAATACATTAATTTAAATAAAACAATTCAACCATTTGTACCAGGCTAATTTTTGCACAGCTAATCATCGTCGAGTAGCCATTCACGAAAATCACCTTGCCATACTTTTCCGACAGTTCCCAATGGCAGCCATACCGCTGCAAAGGAGTAATTTTTTTTTTTTCGCCAAACGATTTGTACCACCCTGAAACTTTTTTTAACAGTTCCCCGTATGATCATAAATAGAAGTCTGATAATGCCATACCTGTGGGAGGTGGCGAATGTGAACAATATTTTTTCAAAGTCCCAAGATTTTATTCGTAATTCGAACGATTTGTACCAGTTCTTGGTCATTTTATATTTAAAATCCGGAAAATAGCTGGCGTCCATTATTTTATAAATAGTGTAAAATTGAATGTAATTCTGGAGATTGTATCGAAGAAGTATTATTATTTTTTATTATTGTACACGTTCACACCAAGGATACCTAACTTGATTTGCTTTATAAAACATCGTACTAAAATTGATATTAAGAGCAACTATTGACTTACTCAGGACTATAACTTTAACAAAGCGATTATACTATATTGCCTGCCCAATCTTCAGTCCTTCCTTACAAAATAAAAATTTAAAATGCCTAACATAAGTAACAGATTTAACAAAAATGGTCCAGATAATTTAAGTGATGAAATAGATAATTTTTCCATATCGGAATCTCATCTGCGCAGTCCTGATCAGGTATTACAATATATTAAGCATCCAATAAATAATATAAAAATTCTATCACAAAATATTAGATCATTAAATAAAAATTTTAATAACTTTCAAACCCTCTTAGCACGAGTCCCATTTGATTGTGATGTTTTAATCTTAACAGAGTGTTGGCTTTCTTGTCTGAGTAATAGTGTCATCCCGATATTAAGAAATTATACATCTTATAAAACCTCAAATCATCAAAACCAAAGTGATGGCGTAGTTGCTTACGTAAAGTCAAACCTTCCCACCAATCTGGAAGAACCAGATTTTCAGTCCACAGCTTCCGGCCTGATAATCACCATAAGTACTGATACTGCTATCCTTTCTGTATATCGGTCACCCTCAAATTTAAATATTGATAATTTTTATCATCCTTAAATAACATTTTATCCAGTTTATCAAAATTCAAGTTAGTGATTATTACAGGAGACATAAACATAGATATTAAGCCAAACTCCTCTGACAAACGACAACATGACTACCTTAACTGCTTAGCCTTTCATGGATATCTACCAGCACACACTTTACCTACGAGGGAAAGAAATTGCCTAGACCACGTATTCATTCGTTCTAATCTCAAAAGCACCACATTAATATTTGAATCCACCATCACTGATCACTACTCCTCCTTAGTGTGCATTAATTCAAAACCAAACAGAAAAAATACTCCAGAATCTCAGACGAGAATAAATTATGCCACTCTAGACCAAACTATCGATAAAACGAATTTTTCATCTATTCTCAAAATCCAAGATCCAAATACTGCAATAAACGTGTTTATCGATATGATCTCTAAATCAATAGCAGCAAATAGTATGTGCCGTAAAATATCTTCAAGAAAAAGAATAATTAAGCCATGGATTACTCCAGGGCTTTTAAAGTGTATACGTAATCGAGACTTACTTCATAAGAAACTTAAGAAATCTCCTGACAATTTAACGCTTAAATTAACCTACACAAGATATCGTAATTATTGTTCTAAAATTCTTAAAAAAGTTAAAAGGCAATTTGACACCCAGGAACTTAATAAAGCCGGCAATAATCCTAAATTACTCTGGGATAATATCAAAAGAATAACTTATACTAGCAATATTGATCATTCCGAAAATTCAAATAAGTTATTGTCTTTAAATGTTTCTCCCTTGCAGTCTTGTAATTTGATCAATAGCTATTTTGTTAATATTGGAGAAGAATTAGCTCATAAAGTTTCTGATTATAACCCACTCCACAAACCGAACACCTTTGACAGTCGTACAATAAAACAACCCTCCTCTTTTGTTCTTACTGAAACTGATGCTGATGAAGTCAGATCCATTATATTGTCACTTAGGTCTAATGCTGCTACAGGTGAAGATGGCATCTCAAGTAACTTACTCAAACGATACTCAAAAATTTTTTCCCCTATACTTTCGTACATCTTTAATCTATGTTTTCTTAAGGGTGTTTTCCCATCGGCTCTAAAAAGTGCCATAGTCCGCCCTATCTACAAAGGCGGAGACGGAAGTTTAGTGACTAACTATCGTCCAATAGCTATTCTTCCGTCGATATCTAAAGTTCTTGAGCGCATTGTTAATAATAAACTTATTGTATATCTTGAACATTATAACATTCTATCGACACAACAATTTGGCTTTAGAAAAAGAAGATCTACATCTGACGCTGTCCATGATCTACTGGACAATATTATTAAGTCTCTTAACTCTCGAAAAAAAGTACTTACCATCTTTATTGACCTCGCTAAGGCTTTCGATACTGTCCCCAAAGAAATTCTTTTAGAAAAGTTAGATAATATCGGTATTAGGGGTTCCCCGCTTGATTTTTTCCGCAGCTATCTTACAGACAGATTTCAAACATTGAAACTAAATAATCATAAAAGTGATAAACTCCCTATTAACTACGGCGTGCCCCAGGGAAGTATTCTCGGTCCTACTCTTTTCTTAATTTTTATTAACGAACTGTGTAATCTCAACATACCCCAAGGTCATATAGTCTCATATGCAGATGACACAGCTATTACATTTGCTGCAGATACATGGTCCAATCTCCAAGTTGTCGCGCAAAATGGACTAAATACTACAACTGCTTGGCTTATTAATCACATGCTTACTTTAAATGCATCAAAGACCCAATTTATCACTTTCTCCATTAGATCAAACACTCAACCTTTAATATCGCTATCTCTTAAAGCTCACACTTGTCTAAATTCATCAGTTTCGGTTTGTCTGTGCCCTTCACTCTCATCAGCAGACACAATTAGATACCTTGGAGTAACCCTCGATAAACACCTTACTTTCAAAAACCATATAAATTTCCTCACCAGCAGAATGCGAAAACTTATATTTGTTTTTAAAACCCTGAGGCATGTCGCAAACCCCACCTTAGTCCAAAACGTGTACTACGCTTTATGTCGTTCTATACTCACCTATTGTATATCCTGTTAGGGAGGGGTTCCTAAAACAACACTAAAACCGCTTGAAGTAGCTCAGCGTGCAGTACTCAAAGTGGCTACCTTCCGCAATATACTTTTTCCGACAAGCGAATTATACACCATTTGCAAAGTCTTGACAGTGCGACAATTATTTATACTTAACGCCATTCTCCGTCAACATCATATAACGCCCTTTGATCAAATTACTAAACGGCGTAAGGACAAGGTGTGTGATGTACCCTTCACAGCCTATACTTTTACAAAAAGGTTCTTTTATTATTTGGGTCCATTTTTGTATAACAGGATAAATGCTGATCTCCCCTTATATAAACTTTCAAATTTCGAATGTAAAGCCAGAGTCCGCTCTTTACTTTTAAATAAAACGTATGTCCAGACAGAGGATTATTTGTACACTCTCACATAAGTTCACAAAATACCCACATTTACTCCAAAATTCTAACTACTACAAACAACATAAGTCGTAGGGTACCACATGATAACATTATTGTATGTTTTCGACACCAAACAGTGACAACACTTTACAACACATTAAACTCTTTTTCTCTTAATTTATACACTCGTCTTAACTGATTTTTGTCATAAACACTATACATAGATAGTAAATAATAATAGATAGTAACTAGATAATTTTGTAAATCATAATAATTGTTCTTATTAACCAAGGTGGTGGGAGCCTGATGACCTGTAAAACAGGTATGTTACCATACCTATCTCAGGCATCAGTCTCACACAAACTTATCATTTGTGCCTTTACGGTTATGATTACATGGAACTTGTGTAAAATTGTTTGTGTTGAGAAAATAAAATTCATTATTATTATTATTATAATTAACCAAATAATTAGAAAAATAAAGCGCGTCAAGTTTTGGGGGTGGGGGCTGGTGACGTCACTTCTTTGTAAAAATTTAACTGGGACGGGACGACATGTGGCATATCAAATCAAAATATCTCTGTAATATTTTGATTGTGTGAATCATGGAGGTTAGAGAGGAGTATGATCGCTGCGTACTAGAGCATTAGCCCGCCTGACCCTGAGTAGAATTTATAGTTAATTTTTCAGCCACCAACCGCGCTGCCGTCGATAAGTAGTATCTGTGAAGTTAGCTGTTTATGAGTACCAGTAGATGAAGTTAGTTGAATATTGTACAAAGGAGATTGCTCAGCTTCCATACATGTTTGGCCTAAATACCAATAATTATGAAAAATTGTTTCCTAGATTCGAAATTATATATAAATTACTGTAGAAGCGAATATTATTGTCGGACACCCCTGAGAACTTCTATAAACCATAAACACTGAACGATTTTGAGGTTATGTTTGCAAATAGGTAAGGTATTAAAATAATAAAAAACAAATAAGTTATATAGTAAACTACGGAAATCAAGCAAAGTACCGAAATTATGTATTAAATTCAGTTATATAGAGCATGTAGATTAACAGATAGTGGCCTGTTTTTAAAGTTAATGCACAAGAGTAACTTAAATTTTAAAATCAGGTATTATCTATGCATTTCCGGTTATAATAAGGA